AACTCTAAACAAAGCATTACCTTATCATTATGATTCTGATTACTTTTGTTGTTATCATTAAAGTTTATTGTTATTTTTATTGTAATTGACATAGTTAATGTGAATATCAGTAACATAAATAAATGAAGTTTTAGATATATATCTATTATCGATTACAAAATGTGTGCATATGAATTGTTGTATACAAAATGATTTCTGAATATTTTGAATTGTTGTAAATATTTAAATACGTTTTTTGATTCATTTGCTATTGTTGTCTAACTTGACTTCAAAGGTCATGCTGAAAAATAATGTATGCTTGTTCTGTTAATCTTTAAACTTTGTATCTTATCTTGTTTAGATACTTACCAATTTCTTGTTATGAAAACAACTGTTTTTTAATTTGTCACTTCCTATCACAACTTACTACATATATATCTTAATTTGCTACTTGTTAGGATAAAAACTGCCAGTGATATTAACAACGAAACTATTTTTTAACAACCAAGAAAGTGTAACAAAAAGAAGTTTATTTCCCCAAGGCGAACACTGAAATCACAGACACGTGTTTTAAAACTATTTTATTAAAAACAGTAATTAATATTTGTACTGCTTCATTCAAGATACTGCTTAAATTGTATGATTAGTTTTACAGACAATTGATAAATTTCCTACTGAATTATGGTAAAAAACACAAAACATCGGAACAAAAATGCATTTTTTATTTCTATATTTTTTAGGATTTAATTATAAATTATGTCTAAATGAAAACCACTTATCCTCTTTCATGATCTCACCGATATGTTTGAGATTTATTACCTATACCTGTTGGTTATATGGCAACCAATGTTAAAGGCACTTTAAAAAAGCAATAATTTTAATTCAGTTAAGTTAACGGAATGATTTTATTAAAACATAGGATATAAAGATCTGAATCTTCTTATACTAGGAAACGATAAAACATGTACATTGTATTTTCTTGCACTATTTTGCATAGAATTATTTAATAGACAGCAGCAATTAGTATTGATACGAAGACATTATTGAAAGCTTTTTGTTATCGTCCTGTTATTGTGTTAATATTGTTTCATTTTTACTCTCTCGTTTGTGATAAAGTTTATCTCAGCCCCTTGTCACGACCAATGATCTAGCTACTGCTGCATTTATGACAAAAAAGTCTTACTGGTGTTATAACTACCATTTGAACTAACTACTGTACCACAATATGTAAATATTTAAATAAAAATATTTATTTGATACACATTTGCAGATTGAGTCGTTTCATGTAGAAGGGATTATACCTGGGATATATTGCGGAACCTATCTCGATGTAGGTATTTACATAAATTTTTCACTTAACCTAAAACCTTGGATAATTTGACTAAATTATGATGCCTTTATGACTTAAAGACTGTAAATGTCAGAAACTGAAAACGACCTGTGTCTGTTCACAACTAACACTTGGGGAACTTACATAATATGAAACGTTTCTATATCAAACTTCAATAAATGTCTACTAGGGTCAATGCCTTCTGATGTAATAAAAACCAGCTGTTAAAGTCGTTCAATGAACAGTATGTTATGTAATCTAGAGAATGGTTTATGAATTTGTTAACTATCGTCTTGCTTTATCCAGTTTAGCAAATGCTTGACTTTCAAAATTGAGTTTATATGTTTTCCTTATCTCATTTAACAAAAAATCCTACATGGTAGGCACTGAGTCCGAGAAAATTTCTGATTTCATTATGCTTATGGAAATAAAAGGGCATGTGCGATAAGAAGCAGAACAATATCATGACAGAAATGATAAAACATACAATAAAGGAAAAATCAAGGAATAATTGTAAAATATCTTCTATTGCATGTATCAAAAGAAAACGTCAAGAGGTGTATTTCCAGAAATATTCCACATTCGGGCACAAATTATTATTATTATTATTATTATCATTATCATGATTATTATTATTAAATAAGATAATCGACACAATCAAAGTTTTCTCATTTTGATAATATGTATACGAGTAACATAATTAAAACTAGTTACATACTATCTAATATTACACTTGTCTTTATACGATTATGAGTCGTTTTATTTTAATTTATAAATACATGTATAGAATAAAGTATAATTTTAACTTTAAGCATAATAATAAATTTAAGTAACATTTGGGAGAAGAGAAACGAATTTTGTTCATATTTAAAATCAGTCACTCTAATTTGAAATAATTGACAATTTATTTTTATATCAGCAAAATGGTTTTCCTAAAAGTCTTATTTCAAGATTTGATTATGAAGGTTCAGTTGAAATTATGAATTGTATTTATATTTCTTGGCATGAACGTCAGTTTCAAAAAGTGCACAAGATAACGAAAATATTTAACTTTGCATGTTTCCATACCCATTTATAACAGCAAGTGTCCAGTGTTGTATGGCAGCTCGTACTCCTTCAAAGTGTTATTATGTTTTTTTCCGATTCTGCGGAATAATTGGTTCCAACATCTGATAGCGTTGAAAATTTAATACTTCTTTAGCCATTGCTATATGAGCGTAACTTTATTATGATCTTTCATTAACAAACTAATTAGAAGAAGTAAGGAGCAACTTCTTATTGCTGCTATACAGCACTGGGCAGTTGCTGTTATGATTCTGTAAAGGGAAAACATTAAAGTTCAATATTTTCGTTATCTTGTGCACTTTTGAAACTTGCGTTCATGCCAATACAAATAAATACCAGTTTATATATTCAACTGACGTCTTGAAATAAGATATGTACGTATTTTGAGAAGAAGAAAAATTCTGTTGATGTTGGTGAATCATTTCCAGATAAAATAACAGATTTGAAATATCAACAAAATCGTTTCCTCCCGAACGGCATTTCAACTATTTTTTTTACCAAAGCCAGTGATGTATTCTTTTTTATAAATTCTATAAAACAATTTATAAGAATATATAAACAAGAACAAAATGCTATAGTTTTCAACTAGGTTTAATATGTTATAAAACGTGAAAACAACAAATGATTCAATTATTTCAATTAAACCCTAGGAAACTGCAATTGGATGAATTATTGCAAATCAAGATCGAAGATTATAAAAAGAGAAAGAAATATTTCAAGAAATTAAACAGCTTTTCTTCTTTTGAAATTTCTTCGGAAAAACACGGCTTACCATGATAATTTTGCTTAGTTTTCAATTGATGATTAAATGTTAGTTATCAATCAAATAGACTATGTATTATCCTACCAATATTAATCATTTAGTTCTAGAAGCAAATGAATTATACAATTGTATATATTTAGGGTATTCTAGTTTCTTTCTATTAATACGTAATTTATTGTCATCTTGTCATCGAGTGGTATGAAACTAAATACAAATGAAATATGATCATTTGAAAACCACAAGATGGAAATAAACTTGTATTTATAGAACAAAATAAAAATTTCTGTTTATAATATACTTTTTCTCTTTACCATTAAAACGACTTTCCGTTATTTTATGTGTATTTGCTGAATTTAGAAGAAGACACCAACTGAAACACGGAAAATATGTTTTATTGCAGTGAAAAATATGTTTTAACAATGAAAATAAGGGAAATGAAAATATGCATTTTTTATCAATATTTCTCAATGTTTGATTTATAAGTATGTAATAACACGTTCAAACTTGTTAAATAAAATATTATTTTGTGATACAAAGTAGGAAAAGCTTGTTTTTTTTAATAGAAATTGTGTTTTAGTTTTCCCTAGAATAATAAACAAATCGAAGCTTCTAAGGCAAATTTCGCATACCATGAAAGAATATTTGTTAAAACAGGATAAGGAAAAAATGTATATTTCAAAGTTGAATCTTTGTTAAACGGGATAAAGTAAAAAGATGTTTAGAAAATTCTTCCAACATTCTCTAAATTACATAACAGACTGTTCAGTGAACGACTTCAGTAAAATATTGTGAATATATGGAACAGCTGGTTTTTGTTACATCATAAGACATCGACCCCAGCAGTCAGTGGTTAATAGCATTATTTTGACGTTCGGTATTGAACGTTCAACAAGAATTCTCAAAGTGTTACTCAGTTTTATATATCTTTAACACATACAAGTCATAACTACTGTTCTTTAACTATAACAATAATAACTATGCCTTCATTTTCTGACATTTATACTTATTAAGTCATAAAGGCATCATAATTCAGTCAAATTATCCAAGGTTTTAGGTTAAGTGCAAAATATATGAATATACCAGCACATGTGTACGACGTTTTCCTGATATAATCCACCTACATGAAACGACTAAATCTGCAAAGATGTAATTATTTATTCAAGGGATTTCATGAGCAAAATACTCACACCAAACGACCATGGTGGCCATTTCATCGCTCAAAAAAGTAAAGACGATGAAACATTTTGAAAAGTGTTATAACGATCCTTTCAAAGCATTATCTGTAAGTGTTTACATTTTCTTGGGACTTGAAGTATCACCCTTTCCCAGATTTTTGATTGACCTCATATGACCCATTTTTGACATTTCCAAGTTATCAGTTAATGAAGATTCCTATAAAAGATTTAATTAAAATTGAAATGTCCCTAATGTATTCTGTTTTACTGAGTGACCTTGAGTTTAACACTAGATAATATTCAAAAAAGACATTAGAATCATTTAGACATTATATGCAAACCGCATAATGAATTTGTCAAAAAAGTTCGGGCGTTACTAGTAACAAGGTTTTCACATAATCAAACCTGTGACCTAGTTTTGCACCTCAGGTAATCAATGTTCCAACTTATCTAAAATTTCATTAAGACTAACATTGGGACCAAGTTTGAATAAAACAAATGTGGCCCTCAAGAGTGTTAACAACCTGGGCATGTGAATTGCTGACAACTGCTTGCCCATCTTTAAGCTCTGTCTGCTAAATTACGCTACAAAGTGTATGGCAGAAAATAAATGCTTTGTCTGATAATAATGCGTGGATGTGATAAAATGGCTTTATAATGATGATATAGGAATGTCAAGGCAATTGAAACAGTTAATGAATATGTATATCTAAATAAATTTAAACACAACAAACCACATTTTCAGTTGTAAAATCTAATGTTACATGGCTAAAAACACCTCACGTGCACACACATAATAATACGAAGAACTAATACAAAAAGTAACAACATTCTATGAAAGAACGTAAAATTTTAAAAATAAATCCTATATATACGTATGTAAATTACAAATATATGTTATTGTATACAATTGTTTTCCATTATTTTGTTGGAGTTTTATTACCCTAAGACTATTATGTCCATATGGTGACTTCCCAGCTTTGCACCAGGAACCTAGCTGTCAATGTATTATTTCAATCATGCATTAGCAGGCACCTGAATTTAACGACCAATCCCCCATAAGCTCACTGGATAGCCGCTGCCCATGAAAGTAACCAACATCTCTATCATGACTTAGATTGACACTGATGAAGAGCACGTGGTATGAAATGAGGTTAGCAGGTTACAAAGACATGGAAGGACAAGTACATGTTTCTGTTGTCTTCCCAGCAAAGATCCAACATACATTAGGTTGAATTTATAAACACAAATACTAACTGCTTTTATATCAATATTTTTTAGGAACAGCAAGTGGTTTGCAGTCAGCAACATTAATCACCAACAAAGCACCATATACCCCTTTTGAACAAACATTTTTGTATCTGTTAACATAATTGCTACATGAGTCAGTTATGCATTTCTATTCTGTTTAATTCATATATGCTACTCTAGCATTTAAAACCAAAAACAACAAACACAATCTATTTAAAGGGACTGCACACTGACTGGTGTGCAAAATTTAAGATCATTCCCACAGACTCGCCAGATTGACCATTTTATTATTGTGCAAAGTGACCCAAAACCAAAAAGCATTGCAATACTTTTCACTCAAATCAATCTTCAATTGAACTCTAGTAAATTGTTGCTTTTTTATTTTTTATGTTAAGTGCATTATGATCATTGCAAGAATTTCAAATTTAATGTTTTAAGGCTCCTTTAAATTATAAGTAACAAATATATAGTTAAAAATAATGTAAGAAAATCCATCCAGTAAATAGAGGATATTAAATGAGTGTAAATTCAATACTGAATTTATTGAACAAGTTCAACAACAAAATTACATTATGCCAGCCTCTGGCAAGCATAATATTACATTATTCAACAAGTTCAATAAATTTAGTAATGAACCTACAGGAATATAATATTCTATTTATCGCATACCCAAATTATAGACTGTTTAAAGTTAATAAGATTTCTTTTCATTGACAAGCCTCGAGTGTAACATTTAGCACGCTAACTTTTAGCGCGTTTTTACACAATGTTTGTATAATGCAATTGACATCATGGCAAAATATATGCACCGCCATGCTTTACCATTTTCAAATAGTCCCACAAGCATCGCGGGTATGTGATAAAAAAGGATAATCTGATTTTATTCAAAATAAAAAAAATTCATTTTTCTTCTATAAACAAGCAAAGTTTAGACAAAAAGTATTAACATCTTATCGTAAGAATTCAAACATTCATCAAATCTATTCATTATGGCAAAAACAAAAACAACCATGAATTTATCACATTTGTCTTCAAACAACTAAATAGTGTACATGTATATTGGAAAACAGTAGAATGAATCTTAGAGGTATAAGCTTTGTGAACTAAAGCAGAAAATAATGCTGAGTCTAGAACTAGATTGTCGTGTTTTAAAATAATATATAAAGAAAATTGTCAAACAAATATTATATAACAAATCGCACACACAAAAAAAATAAACGAAATTATATTCAATGAAGTTCTTGAAATTTTAATTATTGACAGATGTATTATACACTGATGAATAAAATATTGTGAAATATTGATGAAATAAAATGCATATTTTTTTCTTCGTATTTTTACAAGAAAAATCTATTTTTCACTGCAGTGAAAAAATCTTTTTCGTATTTTCACTGGTGTCTTGCCGCAATACTTAGCCAAAACACAAATTTTACTGGGTAGTCTTTCATATTAAAATGTCTAAAGAGAAAAATGTATAAAATAAACAGAAAATTCCAAGTTTTTTTTTCTATTAATACAGAATTTATTTTCATTGAGTGGTATGCAAATAAATGTTTCTTGAGTGGTAGTAGTATCACAATGCATACAAAGGTAACAAACATGTTGTAATAATAAAATATAAGAAAAACATGCCCTGCAACTCAGCACCAAGGATAATAAAAAAAAGACAATGAACCCTTATTTCCATTGTGGTCCTTAGAATTTAAGAATCTGTTTACTTAAAAAACATATAAAAATCCAAAATATTATCACATACAACCTATATCAAAACTATTACAAATTTTAAGCTATCAAAAAAACAAAATTCTGGGAAATAGAAAAAATGTAGGCTCTGTTTCACAGACAGATCTTCAAAATAAAAAACATAACAATAAAATAAAATTTCATTTAGCACTTTTTTCTTAGAGTAGTGTATGACTTTACAACTTCATTCATAAAGGGAATGTGACGTCATTCTAAGAACATAAACGAGGGGGTACAATACAGAATATATCATTATCTGAAGAAAGTAGTGATAAATGTCAAACATTTTTTCATAAATGTAGCAAAATGTAAATGTAAGTACTTTGTCTTTCATACAAAATACTAATTCACTGTAACTGTACTTATCGCAAAAAAGCAACAAATGAAAAAGATGGTTCCATTAAAAAAGCCAGTCAGTAAATTTTTATATACTTTAAAAGTACACCAACATTTTAAAGCTTTTGAGAAATAATAATAAAAGCATTTCTCATTGATACATGTAATGGGCCTTTAAGGAAGAATGTTCATCTTTAAAACCAAAGCTATAAAAGAGTCACAAATTTATGGGTCTTCAAAATGTTTCTTGATTACATTGATATAATAGTTGTTTAATTACATGTATTTTTTACCAGAATAAAACTATCTATCTATCTAGATGGCAATAACTTTGGCAGGGTAAATGAAATTTTGTACTATTCATAAATACAATGTTTCCACTACTCCTCTCTAGTGTTTCATGAAATATGTGTACACTATTTGACTGAAACTTCAGAGCACAATGAAGTTTCTTAATAACAAATAACAATGTGAGATGATCTTAATGTCACCATAGTGCAATAACTAGTTACTTCTATTAAATTTTGAAGGACTAAACCCATTACTAAGGTGACATTATGTGAATTGTATTGTAAAGAAAAAGGGACATATCAATGCCAGCAAACAATTATTCTCTTTTCTTATAAACCAAGGTCTCACAAAATGTTCAACACTGTCTGATGATATGCTGGTCTAAAAAAATGTATTACAAGTTGAGATATTGTATTCTTTGGTATACAGGCATTATCTCAACTCAACATAAAAATTCGGATGCAAAACATAATATGCTCAAGATGTAGCACTATTTTCACAGTTAGATATCCCAGCATTAACACTGTTGTCCATTCCAATGATTTTTATGTTAAACCGAGATGTTTATTAACTTAATTAAGCAAAAGGTCTTTGTCATCTGCATCTTCATTGATCAACTTGTCAGAAGCTGGATCCGTCACAGCACCGGCGGTTAGCTGACGTAAAACTAGCCGCTTATATACACCATTTCTGTCTAATAACTCTTCATGGGTACCCTGTTCAGCTATTTCACCTTTATCTATCACTACAACCTAAAATATGAAACATTAATAACTTACATTTATAGAAAATTTTTACCTCAGTAGACAAAGAGCAGCATTGAAAAAAAATTTTTTTTGCAGAAAATGACTTTTAATTGATAATTTACTCCTTTTAGCTTGATAACGATGAAGGCAACCACTTATCTGTGATATGCAGGCTTTATTACATTTAATCCCCTTTCAAAAGTACAATTCATTTAGCTCCGCCCATTGTTTTCTCGTTTAGGGCAAAAACTTATTCCTAACTCTAGTTTATGTCAAGACTAACTGACAAACAGACTCCTATATACACCCCTCATTTGTGGGAGTAAAATGGTAACTTTACCTGTCCTTGCAATAAATGAAGTGTAAAATTATATATAAATGCTAAAGTTGACATTTTCTAAAAGCATCACTTCTAATGAAAGTGTGCAAACCTTTGATGCATTTCTAACTGTTGACAGTCTATGAGCTATAATAACTACTGTACGACCCTTCATCGCCCTGTCTATAGCTTCCTGTACAAGATGTTCTGATTCAGCATCTAATGCACTTGTTGCCTAAAATTACATGTACAAGTTTTAAATGAACTTCATTCATTGAAATTTAACAAAATGTTTCTGATATATGTACAAGTACAATGTTGCATTGAATTTCTACCTTTTGATGAGTGTTACATATCAGAACCTTGTTTATATCCCAGTTTGTGACCTAAGACCCCAACTTTGTTTACATTTTTCTATTTCAATGGCAAATAATTTCACTCTTCATGTAAAAGCATCTAACATTCTCTTAAACCAATATTTAAATGTTTTAAAACAAAAGTTTGCCCTTTTTAAAGAAATTAAATCCATTCAATTCTGAGGCATATTCCGCTTTTAAATGGACTTGTCAATCTTTCAATCTGGACAAAACCATTCTTCAATATTTTCAAAAAGTTTTCAATAAAAGCATAGAATAGTGAACAGTGTAGACCATGATCAGACAACATGGATGTGCAGACCGATCTTGGTCTGCACTAATAGCATAGGTACAATCTGTTGCCGCTAACAGACTAAAGGTTAAAGTACCGTTCAATATCAATAAAAGACTTATCTGTTGAATCAAAACAGGCTTAACCCAGACAAGATTTGCACAGCATGGAAACTTATACTATCTGACAGATTCTAGCCTACAGATTCTGAAAACACGAAGTTTCCCCTCAAGAAACTCCAAAATCCAAGATGGCTGCAATCAAGATGTACATGATACACATTTAAATAACCTATCACTGCTATATAACATACCTCATCTAGCAGTAGTATCTTTGGGTTCATTATTAAAGCTCTAGCTATAGCTACCCTCTGTTTCTGCCCTCCAGAAAGTCTTACACCACGTTCACCTACTAACGTGTCATAACCCTCTTCAAATGTTGTAATAAACTCATGGGCATTAGCTTCCTTTGCTACAGCAATCACCTGTTAGAATATAAATAATTTTTTTATTTATTTATTTTTTTTTTGGTTTTAAAATCGCACCAACACATTATAGTTCATATGGCAACTTTTCTGCTTTACTGAAGGAGGAAGACCTCAGGTTCACATCTGCTCATTATTTCAGGCACAAATGGGCACCTGAGTAGAACCACCGATGTTCCATAAGCTTAAGCTGGAAAGCTTTCTAGTACAAAGAGTCCGAAGACCATGGCACAGCTCGAACCTACAGCAGTGAGAGGCAAGTAGTTTTAAGTCAACGACCTTAACCATTCAGCTATGGAAGCCAACAAAAATGTGTATGCTGAAAGATATACTATGCTCATCCTTTAGTAAAATATTTAAATCACAGAAATTTATGTAAATCCATATATATATTGAACTGAATATGGTTAATGTGAATAAAAGAATGACTAAACTACAATGTATGTATAGGAAGCTGCAAAATGTCTGGAATTTTGAAATTCGCTAATTTTTCCGCCCTGTGGAAATATCAAACTGTACTGTAATATTAATAGCTAACCTCTTCCATTGATGCCTCCCTGCCATATGCAATATTCTCCTTTATAGAGCAGGCAAATAAGGTAGGTTCCTGGCTCACCATTGATATCTTTTGTCTAAGCCATTCTTGATCTAGTTCACGAAGGTCAATGCCACCTAGAAAATTTGAATTTGATAAGTAAAACCGCCAGTCTATGAATGCTGGCAATTGACTGGTACTAGCATGTCAATAACATGGCAATGGAATGATTATAGTATGACAATGACATGGCAATGGAATGGTTATAGTATAACAATAACATGGCAATGGAATGGTTATAGTATGGCAATGACATGGCAATGGAAAGGAAATATCATGACAATAACATGGCAATGAAATGGTAAAAGTATAACAATTATATGGCAATGGAAAGGTAATATCATGACAATAACATGGCAATGGAATGGTAATATCAGGACAATAACATGGCAATGGAATGGTAATATCAGGACAATAACATGGCAATGGAATGGTAATATCAGGACAATAACATGGCAATGGAATGGTAATATCAGGACAATAACATGGCAATGGAAAGGAAATATCATGACAATAACATGGCAATGGAATGGTAATATCAGGACAATAACATGGCAATGGAATGGTAATATCAGGACAATAACATGGCAATAGAATGGTAATATCATGACAATAACATGGCAATGGAAAGGAAATATCATGACAATAAAATGACAATGGAAAGGTAATATCATGACAATAACATGACAATGGAAAGGAAATATCATGGCAATAACATGGCAATGAAATGGTAAAAGTATAACAATTATATGGCAATGGAAAGGTAAAAGTATAACAATAGCATGGCAATGGAAAGGAAATATCATGACAATAACATGGCAATGGAATGGTAATATCAGGACAATAACATGGCATGGAAAGGAAATATCATGACAATAACATGGCAATGGAATGGTAATATCATGACAATAACATGACGATGGAATGGTAATATCATGACAATAACATGGTAATATCATGACAATAACATGGCAATAGAATGGTAATATCATGACAATAAATTTACAATGTAGGAACATGGCAATGGAACTAAAACAGAGACACAGCAACTTACAGTCAGACCATTCTAACTTCTGATTGATACTTTAAATGTTAAATTATAAAAAATACTTGTACTTTGTAACAATTAATCAACTTGATGAAAAAATGGAACAGTAAGCCATATAGGACAATTCGGAATTAACAGCAAGGGCAATACAATTTTACAAAATTGGGTAATAACTCACTCTTACCTATTGATATATATCCAGCATCGGGATCATAAAAGCGCTCTATAAGGGTAACGAGGGTAGATTTACCTCCCCCTGAGGGACCGACCAAGGCAACCATCTGTCCTGGCTCTACCTTTAATGATAAACCCTACAAAACACAGGCAATTGTATGTAAAAGCCTTAAAAGCGTCAAAAATGCAAATAAACCGTCAGGTAAGCTCAATACAGTATATCAGGCATATTTTGACCACTTTCGGTAATTAATGAAGATTGTAAGAGCCGTTTGCAATGTGTAAATTACTTATTTTGGTCAATTCACAAAAGTTTACTTTTAAATAAATTTTTTAAATGTTGATGAATATTATCATGAATCTGGAGGCCTGCCACTTTAAATTTAAGACTGATTTATAAGAGGTGTACAAATAACTTTATACCAATTTTTCCATGTTTCATTTTGATGAGAAATGCTATGATGAAAGATATGTAGAAAATTTATCACTTTAGTTAACTTACTTTCACAACCTTTGTTTCAGGTCTGGACGGATATGTGAACTCTACTGACTTAAATTCTATTCCTGTGAATACAAAATAAGCAATTTTTAGAACTACATGGATGCAAACAAGCAGAGTAGCATCGAGGCCAAGTGGTTAACAAGTTAGACTAGTAATCTAAGGAATGCTGATCAAGTGGGTTCAAACCCTGTCAGGGACAAGCTGTTGTTTCCTTCATTGCTTCGTACTGGTTGGTTATGGGAACAGATTAAGTGCTTCAATAAGCTCATAGCTTTGAACACAATGTAACTAAAATAAATTTGTATAAACTAAAAGAGCAGACAAATACGAGGGCTGTCCGGAAAGTTCGTAGACAAGGCTATAAAATTATTATAAGCAGTCATATCAATATGATGAGTAAATATTTTGCTTTAGTATTTATTCTGCTACAAATTTCTAAATTAAAAAACTTGATAAAAGTTGTATTCGCAAATCGCCAATCACCATGGCAACATGATCAACGAATCACGGAGCACTTTGATTTCATGACAATAGCTACTCGAATAAAAAGTTGCTAAAAGTTGTAATTTTAACGCAAACTCTTGTTTTAATGTTGTGACATCAAAGGGTACTATTGCTTGATATTTAGTGCAAATAACGACGTCATACGCTAGGAAACAACTTGTTAACGACGATTATAGGCAATGAAGTTGCGTAAGTTTTGTGTCGCAAAAATGACGTCAAATTCAAGGACGGAGCAACGTAATGTTATTTAACTTCACAGCAACGCTAATAATGGCACCAATTGAGATTATAATATTTTCTTTAAAAACAAAATCAACCATAAATTGTTCAGGGAAACTTGTGTTTAATTGTCAAACACTATTAAGAAGCGGTAATGACAGTATTTTGTATAAGAAACATATGAGGTGACCAAAAGTAGCATGGCCGAAATGTCGCAGATTGCGTTACAACAATCCTTGAAAAAGACAGACATCTCACACACTGTATGGGAACCAGTGACACCTTTGTTGTTTTTTTTTAAATGTAGTATATGAAATTCATAAAGTAATAGCAAGGAAACATAACATGTATAAATTATACGCCAGACAGGTTCCATGGCTGTTTAAATCGGAAGAAGTTGAATAGTAGATAAACATGAAGTTAAATTGACGCCGTTGACGTTGTCAAAGTGCTCCATGACGATGTATATATGTTGTATGTAAATACTGTAAAAATACAAACGTAAGTCACAATTCAGTAATTTTTGGTAAATGTGTTTGCTAGATATGTATATTTTTGCTGACAAAATTTGTACAACGTATGTATTGTTATACAATAAAAAATTAAAAAGTATATGAACTTTCCGGACATCCCTCGTATGATTAATATTATACAGTTGCATCATTTTAGGGCATTTTATGCATGAATTAAGTTAAAATGATGTCATTTTGGTATATTTTAATACATGTACATATAAATTATGTACCTAAGATGATGTCATTTCACCATAATAAAACTTTAGATTCATGTGCTATTGCATGAAAACAATTACAGATGAAAGGACATTAATTTCAATGAAAAAATAACTTATTGAGGTAAACCATTTTAAATGTGATAAAATATGGCAGAATATTCAAGAAAAATATCTGACGTGTGTGTGGTTCAGATTGGAATATCCGTCCCTGGGGACGGAATATCGATCCAAACCCTTTCATATGACAGATATTATTATTCTGTCCTAAATTATTGTTCAGTAAACAAGCTAAATATCTGTCTTCCTGAAATCATCGTGAAATAATTCAACAACGTCATAGAAATTAAATCACATAAAGAGGTTGATCATCAGCAATAAGAAACATCTATCGTCAAAATTTCAGATCAATAATCAAATCAATACATTATCTCTGCCATAAAAATACACCTTACTGTTGGCAGAAATGGAACCATCATAAAAATTTACTTACGGCCATCAAGGTCGGGGACTTGTTTTCCGCCATCTTCCGTTGAAACTTTTGGTTTATTATCCATCAGATCAAATACTCTTACAGAAGCACCTACTGCCTGCACAAAGAAAAGAAATATATCAATGATACATGGGAATATTTGTATTAATTCAGCGTTTTTTTTTTAAAGATTGCAGGCAACAATGTATCATAAAACTCAACCATGAAAAATTCAACCGATACCAGTTGGCACAGATGTGCAGGCTGATCTTGGTTTGCACTGATGCATGTTACCATTAGCATACTAAACAAGACCAAGTCTAGCATTACATAAATTAAGGTTGGTAATGTATTCTTTTTAAGCTAAGTGTCTTCACTAAGAGAAGCAATTTCCTAATTTATAACATAGATAACTATTAGTATATTAATTCTAATTAAAGATATTAAAGCTGCACACCTCCAGATGAGCTGAAATATTTCAAGAAAATTAAATTTGGGAAAAATGTGCTAAAATTTTAAGAAAAGTAAAATGTTTCAAGATTTAAGTAATGATTTACATGTTATTTGAGATGAAGGGCTGATTTTGCAGTATTTTTAAACACCTGATAATATTCCTACTGCCTTACTAACACTGTGAGTAAGGGCTAATTTTGCTTATTTTGACCTCATTTTGGTAATTTACGAGGATTGCAAGAGTTGTTTGCAATGTGTAAATTATTTTCTTTGTTCACTTCACAATATTTTACTTTTAAATACATTTTTAAAATTTTAATGAAAATTAACATGCTGCTTTAAAAAAACAAATTCATATTTTAAAGGCATGTTATGCCTCAGAAATCCATAATTTTTAATTCTTTAGAATGTCAAACATGCGCTAAATAATATAATGTTTAAATAAAGGATAAGTGCAAGTTAGAATTGTTTTACAACTGGAAAAAGTACCGCTGAACAAGTTGTTACGTGTCATAAAGGTGGCAAAATGTAAACATAGTAGTTTTTTACTTCCATACAAAATACTAGTTCACTATAATTATATCAATTGCCAGCAGAACTTATGGTGTAAAAGTTATTTCATGTATATAGGAAACAAGTAAACAAAATATTTTTTTGGAAACTATAATAAGATACCAAAAATATACAGTTTTTTAGAAATAAAAATGATAGCATTTCTGAGGCATAATGAGCCTTTAAATGGAACTTTTATATATTTTTTTAAGAAAACCTTTAGACACAATAATTAAGTATCATAAAAATTATAAATATTCTAATACAACAAAAACAATAAATAGTAGTATATTTATGCTAAACTTATTTGTATAACAAGTATTTTACTAATTACTTTTAATTGAACCTGTTCGATAAACAGTCTTAAACTGGATTTTTCAATTATTATTTAAGACCATCACTTTCGATATAATCATTTCTAATTCATTTTAAATCTGCAAGATTTATCCATGTAATTTCATTTAAATAGGTGTGCCTAAATAAGAAATAATATGTTTTTGATGCTTTTGAGTACACTGTACAGACTTGAGTATTAAAGGGACTCCACTGAGGTTTTTTGATAGGATGGGACTGAAAATATTTTTTCAAGATAAATGTACCACTTGATGTAGGTTTAGACCACTGATCTTTGTGCAAAATTTCAGATCATTCGCGCTCTTCGTTTTTTCCAGAATAATGATTCAAACTGTAAAAAAATGACCCAAAATGGGCTAAGAAAAGCATAAAAATATGACTTTCAATTTATTTCAAAGTATATTTCTTAACTATCTTTGCATATACATGTATTTCTGTTTAAAGTGCTCCAGCTCATTTAGGTAAGAAATTCAAATGTTATGTTTTAAGGCTTTTAAACCTAAGTGGAGTCCCTTTAAAGATACTTGTGTAGAATTTATCACCTTAGAAATGTATGTTCAAAACTCACAGTGTTAGTGAAAATCATTATTACTACATGTATTTGTGATTTTCGTGGGTAAGTCAATCCATGAATTTCAGATACAACAAATTTCATTTTGTCAGCTGTAAAATTATTATATTGTTTGCATTTTTTGACAATCCACAAATTTAAGAAGCCAAGAAAATGTCTCTTGTGACAAAACCACGAAACTTCATGCCCATGAAATTAAATAAATTCACAGTAATTAGTTGCCTATGATGTAACCATCATAGACCAAAGTACTTCAGTGCAATCATGTCCAACTTTGTACTCCTTGTTGTTATTTGGTAAACAGATATATATTTTGAGGAGTTGTTATACAAAAATGCCATTTAATGTTAAAATGCTCAGGAATATAATCATAAAGGCCAAAAGGCCTTAGTGATTAACTACAAAGCATTTGAATGATAAATCATGCATTATAATGCACGTACAACCCAAGAAGAAATAACATCTATTCAATTCTAATATGCTGATATGATTGATTTCAATATGTGGAACTACTTTGAGGGGAGAAGTAATTTTCCTGACATCATATGGTTTACTGACTTCACATGTGATGTCATAATTATGACGTGTGAGCATTCCTTTTTTTATGCCATGCATATATAGTATAATGCTGCACTCAACATTTAACAAACCGTATTAATATAATCCTTAGACTTTTAACATTATCTTTGTTTCTTTCTAACAAGATTTGCCATTTTGTTGTACCCAAAATGATTACAAGACATATCCAAATATGGAGTAACTATTTCCGCTAGGTTTGTACCGTATTTGATCAGATCGAAAAAATACATTGTTGAGTACAACTAAAACACAAACAATTGTCATATCTTGTGGTTATATTTAAAATCAATTTAAAACTTTTCTGCCCCTTAGTCAAATACTAACCTCAGCTATCGGTTATTAAATTTTCTGACTGGTTTTTAGCTAAAAACCAACCATACCTGTTTAAACAGATAAATGTGACACCCGTTAATAAAAATGATTTTGTATGACCAGCGATTTCTTTTTGGAATTTTGGGAATGGATCCGGTCCATTTTTGGAAAAAAATATGCACAGTGATGCAAAATATGTGATTTATTTTTTAAGTTAACACATTTGGTTTTCAGGTAAAATTTGCTATTGTGACTCCTAATGGTCAAAATTGGTGTGCTTGATTATCTTATCATTACTATGTGAACATGTTCCATAGGCATGTTCTAATTTTAATCGAGAATTTTTCACGTACTGATTACTCGGCAAATATGATATCTAAAGCTGAAATAATTTTTTTTTTTAAATTGAGAATTGGATTTTCAATTGGGAAGGGTCCGAGTAACAAAGAAGGAAAGAAATCGCTGATGACACACTACAAGAAAGAGAATAAGAGGTCTACCTTCATAAAGTCCCCATACAATGATGACATCGTAGCAAAGGAAATGGCAACTTGTAAAGTGTACAACAAAAAAGCTGAAAAAGGAATTTGATTTCTTATAAAATTAGAAGAAAAAAATAAACAGAAGCTAATAGGCTCATAACATTTGTTATTACAGAATGAGAAAACAGTTTCAGAGGATGTAAGCACAAGAGATGTACATAGCATAAAATAATTTAAAGTATTATACAAACAGAAAATTAGATTAGATTAGAAAATGCGCAAATGTGAAAAATAAATTTTTGAAAGACTTCTTTAGCATTATGAAGTATTCACTATGTATGCTTCTTCATGTACAATATTTGTTACATCTTTAGCACAATATTCAGTTCTCTTTTTATGGCCAATATATGGGCCGAAATTTGCCCCAATTCTCGTATATATATATTTCTCGTCTATTTCTTTAAAATATTCCCCTCCAAAAGTAATTTTTTTTTCGGAGATCCATTTTATCAACTGGGCCATAGTGAGAAAGAGATGGGCATTGAGGTATGAAACAATGATAGTATTAAACTACAAATTGACTTAAAATGGACTGTAAAATCTGCTACTGAATTTTTACCATTTTCCCCTCAGCACCACAATTTTCCCCTCTAAATAATGGCCCTGCCTCCATTCCCCTAAAAGTGAAAAAGAGCACTGATATTCCATTTTTCATTCAGTAAATAGCCATTGTTTCAATAAACTTTATATTCAATACTACTATACAGTCCAGTGGCGGCAAAATTAATTGTCTGTATTGCCCAGGTTGTCCCACAGCCTGTACAGACAAGTGGAAAATTTTAAGAATTTACTATATTACACCATACGGACAAGTTAAGAAATGTCTCAGATAAAAGTGGACAATTATTAGTTAAAGTCAGATTTTGTCAGCCCTGTACACTATATTATATTTGTAAAAAATATACATGTAAAAATGCCGGGGGATATCCCTTTGGTTGAATCTTTGGCATTCTCGTGAACAAGCTTTCCTCCATACCATAGCACCAAAGTTATCGCACCATAAACAACAATACCTATTCCACCTTCAAACATACCTGAAATATACATTTTTACATTGCACGTTTGTAATGTCGCTTTTCGTTGGATAACTTTGATGTTTATAATTATAATTTTATATGCATGACTGCTGTCAATTCAAAACAGACAAGTGATAATTATGACCCATATAACAATATGTATTTATCTAAATGTTTCAAACTCTGGCAAGAGTTTCTTTTTTGTGTTGGAAGCTATAAGCTTATTGAAACACTATTTTCCTGAAACCAACCAGTACTAAGCAATGAATGTAAAGCTTCTTACTCAAGGTAACACCCGGCGAGCAATCCTTTGATTACCAATTCTACGTGGTAACCACTTGGCCTGACCGTCACTCATGTATACTTACCCCCCAATGCTGCCAGTTTGGCTCCAATAGCGTAGCTTTTGTCAATATCTTTTCCATACAAGTCACACGATTTTTTCTCTGCAGAAAATGTACGCACAGTACGTATGCTGGACAAACTTTCCTCTGCCTGACTTCCAGCGTCTCCTAACCGTGCTTGGAACTTTACATACTGGTTTTTCATAAACATGCCTGCGTAAAATAGCAACCTATTGGTATGCATATCATCATCTTGTATTTACATAGAACAATATCAAATACATTTGTATAGAAATGATCAATTACACTTAATCTTAGATTTTAAAGCTGCATTTTTCAATTTCATAAAAAGGAAAATAGCTATATTTTGGAAGACACCTCTCTAAATATCATTTTAGATAGCATCAAGCCTTCTATGTACATCAAACTTTCATGTAAAAGATAATTAGTAAGACCAGTGTCACAGAGGTACAAAGAACAATTCCCCAATAAGTAACACATTAATGCGGCCTTCAGCTTTTCTAGAGGTATAATACATTGTATATACTTTTTAGATAAATTGTTTCAAACAAATGATAAATAAAAGGAATATAGATAGAAAATGAAATTTTCTGCCAATACAATACATAAACACTCATGGAAACCCCTCGATATCTCTAAACTGCCAGTCAGCATAATTCCTGTCCTGATAATTATTCTAATTTTAGAAACAAACTTCACTGACACCTTATAAATAGCTCTCTCGATGATGTTTTAAGGAAGGCTTACAGTGTTATAACGCACTTTTCAAAGATATATTTGCTCAATTACTTAGTTTTAAACTACACAATTTTTTTTTTGTGGAGAAAATAAAAGCTTAAGGTTGCTTTAATAACATACCATACTGTACAGCCCCAATAGCAATAATTGGTACCACGGATAACAGGACACCAGTCAATGAAGGGTTTAATGAGAACATCAGAACCAGCGAGCCAATAATCTGTAGCAAATTACGCACCAGCATTGAAATATTCACCGTTACTGCATTCTGAAGAACCTGTGTGTCCGAAGAAAGCCTATTACATAACTCTCCAGTCCTGAAAATAAAGAAAGCCTATTACATAACTCTTCAGTCCTGAAAATAAAGAAAGCCTATTACATAACTCTTCAGGCCTGAAAATAAAGAAAGCCTATTACATAACTCTTCAGTCCTGAAAATAAAGAAAGCCTATTACATAGCTCTTCAGGCCTGAAAATAAAGAAAGCCTATTACATAACTCTTCAGGCCTGAAAATAAAGAAAGCCTATTACATTTCTCTTCAGTCCTGAAAATCAAAAAAGAGTAATACATAACTCTCAAATTCTGAAAATTGAATGAGTGTAGATTTAATACTTTACTTATTGAATTATAAAATAAAATCATATTATGCTGGCCTCTAGTGAGCATAATATTGTTTCACTCAACAAGTTCAATAAATTTAGTTTTAAATCCACATAAGACAAAAGTACTCTTTACCAAAAAGCAAATTAAAAGAGTTTTGACTAAAATATTTAACTAATTACAAGAAAATAAGAATAAATATTACCTATTTGTATCAAAGAATGCAATATCCTGCTTTATGATTGACCGAAACAGATTTTTCCGGAGCCTGGCAACAACTCGATGTCCGGACAATGTGTACAGCCAAGATCTACCCATACCAAACACACCACCGCCAATATATATAATCAGTAGTGTCAACACAGTCTTGTTTAGTTCATCTGAAAATCATATATAATACAATTGTGTACATCTGTCAGTGACAATAAACATTCATCTGTAAGTAATATATAATACAAATGTGTACATCTGTCAGTGACAATAAACATTCATCTGTAAGTAATATATAATACAAATGTGTACATCTGCCAGTGACAATAAACATTCATCTGTAAGTAATATATAATACAAATGTGTACATCTGTCAAAGTGACAATAAACATTCATCTGTAAATCATATATAATACAAATGTGTACATCTGCAAGTGACAATAAACATTCATCTGTAAGAAATATATAATACAAATGTGTACATCTGTCAGTGACAATAACCATTCATCTGTAAGTAATATTATGATACAATTGTGAACATCTGCCAGTGACAATTAAACATTCATCTGTAAGTAATATATAACTAGAAATGTGTCATCATGCCACGGATGCCCCCGCATGCAGCCAAAATTTCAAATGTTATAATATTTAGTTCCAAATTTGTTTGCACAAATTATTTTTTTCATTCTAAGTTCAAAGCCCTTAAAACTTTTCAATGTTAACACAAACCATTTTTATACAATGTTCAAGGCACTGAAATTATTCAGTCTTAACCTTTTAAAAATAGCATATTGCATATTTGTAGCCAACATAATGGCTATATACATTTCCACAAAAGTATGAGTGCTGAAACTGAAAGTTCAAAATTTTTCCAACATTCAGGAAAGATAAGTTTGTCTAAAATCATTGAACCACGACCAAATTCAAACTTAAACTGCTTATTCCTAAGATGTATCTATATTATTTTCAAAGTGAAAGGGACATAACTCTGCCAAAAAATCATCGAACCATGACCAAATTCTAACTTGACCTGCGCATTCCTTTGACATATCCATATGTCAATTTTGAGTTGAATATGTAACACTGTTGGGTTGATAATGAACAGAAACTGTAAATTTCATATCATTTTCAAAGTGAAAGGGGCATTACTCTGCCAAAAATCATTGAACCATGACCAGATTCAAACTTGGTCTGTGCATTCCAAAAACATATCCATATGTCAAATTTGAGTTGAATGTGTAATATTGTTGGGGAGATAATAAACGGAAACTGAAAATTTCATATTATTTTTAAAGTGAAAGGGGCATAACTCTGCCAAAAATCATCGAACCATGACCAAATTTGAACTTGACCTGCGCATTCCTTTGACGCATCAATATGTCAAATTTGAGTTGAATGTTTAATACTGTTGGGGAGATAATAAACAGAAACTGAAAATTTCATATTATTTTTAAAGTGAAAGGGGCATAACTCTGCCAAAAATCATTGAACCATGACCAAATTTGAACTTGATCTGCGCATTCCTTTGACGTATCCATATGTCAAGTTTGAGTTGAATGTGTTGTACCATTGGGGAGTTAATGAACGGAAACTGAAAATTTCATATTGTTTTCAAAGTAAAAGGGGCATAACTCTGCTAAAAATCATCGAACCATGACCAAATTTGAACTTGACCTGTATTTTCTAATGACATATCAATATGTCAAGTTTGAGTTGAATGTGTTGTACCATTGGGGAGATAATGAACGGAAACTGAAAATTTCATATTATTTTCAAAGTAAAAGGGGCATAACTCTGCCAAAAATCATCGAACCATGACCAATTTCGAACTTGACCTGTATTTTCTCATGACATATCCATATGTCAATTTTGAATTGAATGTTTTGAATCGTTTGGGAGATAATGAACGGAAACTGAAAATTTCATATTATTTTCAATGTAAAAGGGGCATAACTCTGCCAAAAATCATCGAACCATGACCAATTTCGAACTTAACCTGTATTTTCTCATGACATATCCATATGTCAAATTTGAGTTCAATATGTGCAAGGGTTATTAAGATAATGAACGGAAACTGATGATGACGGAAGGACGGAAGGACGGAATGACGGAATGACGGAACAGGGTAACACTATATGCCCCTGCCATTATATGGCGGGGGCATAATAAAAATGTGTATATCTCCCAGTGACATAAACCTTCAACTGTTAGTAACATATAATACAAATGTGTACATCTGCCAAAGTGACAATAAATATTCATCTGCAAGTCATATATAATACAAATGTGTAAATCTGTCAAAGTGACAATAAAGATTCATCTGTAAATTATATATAGAAATTCCATCTGTAAATCAGATATTGTACAGCTGCCAAATTTATAATAATCAACAGTCATTCTGTAAATCAGATACAAAAGTTTATCTGTATCTGATATAGTATATCCTGTTAAAATTGATAAAGAGCATTTATCTCTTAATTGGATGTAGTACATTTAAGTTATATAGAAATTTCATCTGAAAATCAAATACATGTATGGTTCATATAGAAACTCTCAGGAAGTTAATTTGTCAAAGTAATGAAGATCATATATCTGTAAATCATGTATAGTACATCTGTCAAAGAGATAAAAATATGTATCTTTAGATCTAAATCAGATACAGAAAAATCATCTCTAAAACTAATGATTATATAGTACATCTGTAAACCTGCTATAAAACATTTATCTGTAAATCATATTGTAATACTACATCTGTCTGTAAATCATATTTAGAAACTCATCTGTAAATCTGATATTGTGCATTGGCAAAGTGCTATATAACATTTATCTGTTAATCATACATAGTACATCTGTCAAAGAGATGAAGTGTATTCATCTTTAGATCAGATATAGAATACTCATCTGTAAAACTGACTGTAATAGCAATACAGAACAGAGGTTCAACAACCCTCACATACAATTTTTACAACATTTTGGCATCTGATGATCCAAAGAATGAACTAAAATACTACACCTTGGCCAATTCTTATGATAAACCAATGAACTCACCCATACTCTTCTGGGCAGCATCCACAACTTTACCAAAATACAGTGGCGCCACCATCTGACTTCCACTAGATACCAAGAGGCAAAGGGAGGCAACTGACAATAGATGCAGTTCCTATAAAACAAAACCAATATTTCATATTCTATTTATAATGGCTGACCTGATTGGCTGATTAGGGATGATGTCATGAATCCACAAAGAGTCATGTAGACTGCCAAAAGATGTGCAGACACGATGGCATTAATCATTATGAGTGTGCTACTCTTACTGACAAAAGTAAAACAGCTTCCGAAATAGAGTAAATTACAATATCAGCAGACGAAATTGAAAATTTAAATGAAATATCACTTCTCAGAACAGTTACCCTGGCCCAGTGTTCACAAAGATTTAAGGATCAAGATCAGGATCAAATTTAAAAACTCAAATAGTCTCCATTATTTATCCTCATAGATTAGATATCAAGTGTTAACTTGATAAAACTGGACTTGAAATAGCATGTTTATGAAATTTTAGAATAAATTTATTGTTATTTTTACAAGATACGGGCATTTTACATTTGATCCAAATTTTGCTCCGATCATTTTTATATTTGTTTTGTTATTTGTTGATTTTATCCCAAAATAGGTTGGTTTCTTTGCAAATAAGCAATTATTTATATTTCAAACTCATACCATTTGATTCTAGCATTATACGATCAGTTTTAGTTTTATAAAACAATGAAAACAAAATCAGGATCATCTGATCCTTATCTTTTCTTTGTGAACACGAGGCCTGTAGCTTGATATTCCGGTCTGTACCGACAGCCAGTGTGAGATCCCTATGATATAACAATTGTAGACCTATGTTAAGGTGAAGATAAGTATTCAACTTACTGATAAATGTAATATCCACTGAGTAAGATACATAAGTATATTGCATAATATATCATCTAAGCATTGCTTTAAATAAAGTTTGGTTGGTTGGTTGGTCCCTATGTTAGTTGATTTGTTTTGTAACTTAATTTTTTATGCATTATTCAGTGAGTGAGAGTTCTTAGTGAGTAAGTTACTTTTGGTCAGTCAGACACAATGTGATGCTTGTTGGCCAACTGTTGATATGTTAAAATCGAATTGTTTACAATACACAACTAAAGTTAAATACAATATATTATACATTAGCATAAAATAACATCAAATGTTGCCTACTTACAGGTTTTGCAAGGGCGAATACTCTTCTAATATTAACTTTTTTCTTTACTGGATTACCTTCCTTGTCAATTTCTATGCCATTTTCGTCATAAATATGACAGATTCTGATTGACTGTAAAAATAAGTTGTACCAATATAACAACAATATAGACATTTGCTCTTTTCACTAAAATTATAAAGAACAAACATCAGCAACATTATATAAATTGACACTTATTTAAAGTCATCATGTACACTTTTAAATTAATAAACCTATTTCAGCCGCCATACATTGATACTTCACCCCTTTTTCAGTTGTTTAACTGTGTGTTCTCACTGCCGATCAGATCAACTCAATCAAGCACGATCAAGCGATCTGCTACCTGTCTAGCTCGGTCTGCATGTGTGATCAGGGTTGGTTGGAGCGGTCTACCTAATGGTCAGCATGGCTGGAACTTCCTACCCAAATTGTTTTGACATGATTGTGTAGGGTCAACTTGAGGTCATGTAGGAGTCATGAATGTGCATTTAATCAAGCTTCATCACGAGAATTTATGTGATAGTGACAATCAAGTTGATCTGATTGCCAGTGACCCAAAGCTTTTAAATCTGAAGAGTTCAATAATAAGTCTCTACCCTTTTTACAAAGAAAATTATGTTACCATCACTTGTTTAAATCATTTATTATTTAATCTTCAAAGTATGTGTAAAATATTTAATCTTATTACATATTTACATATTCTTTATACATATAATTACCTCAAGGTTCTTCATTGCCTTCACTCCATACAGGAATGCCCCAAATTCGATCAGAGAGAAAGCTACAGCACAAATCAAGAGGACATTGTACGTAGAGTGCATGCGCTCATACGTCTCCTCGTGTAAAATCTCATTGAGTACAAATCCTCCTTTAACCGCAGTGTAAACTAATGACCCAAAACTCAGAACAATATGTAAAAAATGAAGAAGTTTTGAGGTTGTGTGTAAACTGCCTTTCAAGGGAAAGTCGATCAGTTTCAAGGTCACTGATTCTAAAATTGACAGTGCTAGTGAATGGATAATGACCTTGACAAATGCCAAAAGGGCAAGGTCAAACACAGAGTGCTTTATTTTAAAGTTTTTAATGCTGTCTATGAAATAGTCCGAATCTCCACCTGAAATGGCAGAAAATAAAAATAAACTACAATTTTCTACATAATCGTACACATTTTAAAGGGACTCCACTGTGTTCCTTTGACACAACGGAAATGGAAATAATTTTTCAAGATAAATGTGCAATTTGAAGGGGGATATAATTAAGTAATGTGTGTGCAAAATTTTGAGTCATTTGCTCACTCTGTTTTTTTAAGAATAATTATTCCATAGTGAACAAGAACTTAAAAAGTTTGGCAACACCAAAGTGGCTATAACAATACCTCTATTATTTTTTGTTTCTTTTAAGTCGAAGAATGAAAAAAAATGGATAAGCATTGCAACGCTTTTCACTCAAACTGGACCAAGAAAAGCTGAAAAATATGATTTTCAATATTTTTCAGAGTAAATTTCTTAATTATCTTTTGCATCTCATTTTGTTTAAACTGTTCCCATTGATCTATGTTAGAAATTCAATTTTTTTAAATCTGTAGGCTTTTGAACCTCAGTGGAGTTCCTTTAATAATATAAAGTGTATAGTTATAACTCTACTGCCTGCAGTCCACATAAAAAAAAACGTGTTTTTGATCTGACAAAGAATGATGAAAAAATGCCTGTATGAAAGAATGTATGTTGGTGTATTCCCTCAAATGTAAATAACACATGCATGAAATCATTACTAAACAGTTAACACCCTTCTAAAAACTGCAGCCAAAACATTTTATTCTCTTATACAGAAACAATCTTATTGTTAAAACTCAAGTCAAAAGTCAAAAATACTACTTTGTTTACATTTTGCTAATTTTATCATATGACTAATGATTTCACATTTAACTATAAATTATTCAGCTTACAAGCATCTAACATGTTCTAAAACCATTATGTAAATTTTATAGATTTTATGTTTGCTCTTTATAAAGGGGCAAAATTTCTTCATTTCTGAGGCATGATCTGGTCAATAATTTGGTCAATAACCAAATGTTATTGACCAGGCTCTATACTGTTGGTAGCTTTTGATATTGAAATCCTTTAACCTCTTTGCTGTTCCACAAATTCAGCAGGATAAGGGTTAATTAAAGAGTGACTATACAAATTTATACCAACTTTAAACAACCTTATTAATGCTGGATATTTGTGTAAAGTAACCACATTTACCTGTAAGCCATAATGTGACGGAAACAATTCCATCAATCAACAGTATAACAATGGCAACATGTAGAAATCTCAGCGTTGGCAGTGTGTACATACGTCTTCTGCCTAACAACTCCACATCATCATCACGATCCATCGAGGAACTTTGTTGCATCATTCTTGAACTTTCTTATAACTTCAAAATAGAAAAGAATCTTAGTAAGTAAACACTGACTACATGATAGGTGAGTTACAAACTGTTAATGATTCTAAATTAATATATGTATTGTAAAGTGTATAAAAAAAGGCCTTTAGGGTAATAAAGTTATCAATATTTTCTCTCTGTAATATTTTCATTTAATAATTATACAAGCTTAAATTTCCCCCACCTGCATTGAAACATCAATACTAAAATATCAGGAACTTAAAATTCTATCAATATTAACGATAATATGCAAAATACACACCCATATATATAAAAAGTGTTTATATATACTACATTGTATATAGGGGGTATTTTTGGATATTATCATTAATATTGGTTATTTGATAGAATTTCAAGTTCCTGTGCTGGGACGTAGACATGTGTTTAGTTACTTTTACCTTTTCCATTGATGTAACATGTATATGATTTTTTTTTTATAAAGTTTTCATGATTACTGTTGATCGTAATAATCTCTATGAAATATTCAACTATACATGCATTATAAAGTCAAAACTATTTGTTTAGATCTAGTGCTGTTTAATATTAGAAATCACATTACATGTATTCTGTGGTTTAATTAGTACTCCACATGACATTAATTATTTAGTCTTCATTTAGCTTGATTTTAATTAAGGTATTATAAGTTGAGATAAACTAATCTATATATACAAGACAAAAGAAAGAAAAATAAGTACCTGAATAAGCAGTCTTGAACTGCTGATAAGCCTAATTACTACTGTGGTAATTTTATGAGTAACGCCAGGTATGTACCTGGTAACGCGTTTTTAAATTTTAATAATGAATGATGTGCCAGTAAATGCTGCTGACACACGAATGTTTCATTAAAAAAATAATCATGACTAATAGGTGACGCATGCTTCAGTATAAAAAATAGCTATGATACATTTAAAGAAAATGGGTTAAAATAAAGAACATTACTGTATTATAGTCCATTGTAATTAACATAGTGCTTGATTGACCATGCACAAACGTGACAAAGTACACATGTTACATAACCAACCTTGAAATCTAAATGAAACAGCAACATAAATGATATCGAAACAACCAGAAACAGTTTATTAAGATTAGATTATTTCATCCAAATGACAGGGAATCAAACTTTATGCAGAGTCAACAATTCTCTCAATTCTCCTAGCCCTTGTTTGAGCTACTTATTGACCCACGCAATGCACAACAGATATTTATTTTTATATTGCACAACCGAACATATATAAAATACTCATAACCTAATTTCATTTTAAAGAACTGACATTTATTTTCAGCAAAGTTAGGTCTATTAATTTTGAAAATAATTATTTTCTCTAAAACTTACGTGCATTGAAAATAATGAAAACAACCTTCACCTTTGACGTTTTTGCGGGAAGATTGAAAACAGCTGATTTATATGCTTTGCGTTTTAGTGCGCCGAACAAATTGATGCGCACGGGTAAATAGTGTTAAATTACATTTCACCAAACCTATTTATTAAGCCTTTTAATTAAATTGATAAAATTGTAAGCTGTGACGAGGGATTCAATGAAGTTATTTGATCGTTTGTGGAAAAATCTAACTGTCTAAGTGTCATTAAGTGTGAGTGCACATGTAGCCTGGTACATGTAGATTTACATTTTTGTTTTTGTATATTTTAACAGCAAAGGTTTTAATTTCTATTTTAACAGCGACATATATAACAGATCTACATATCTGATTTTAATAAAATCTACATAATATGATGCAGTAAGGTCAGGAAAAAAATATTTGGAAGACAACCAAAAAGTTAACCAGTTTTCTAATATCCAATGATTTGAACTTTATTTTATAAAATTGTGATAATTGTCCGTGTGTCTGTTAGTGTCATTGAATCACCAATTAACATGAGTGAGTAGAGAGATAGAACCAATATGATTTTCATGAAAATTAAAATATTGTCAAGAAAACACAGAAAGTCACTCACACATTGCAAACAGTACTTAAAATTTATGAAACTTACTAAAAACAGGTCAGAAAATGCCAAAATAGCCCTTACTCCTTACATAGAACATGGTAGAACAGTAGAAATATGGTGATAAATACTGCAAAATCAGTCAAAATGATAAATGCATATAACATGAAAGGCATTTGTTGAATCTTGAATCTTTACTGTTCCTAAGATCTTAGATCTTAAATTTTTCCCAAGTTAGGTTTTCTTGAAATATTTTGGCCCATCTGGAGGTATGCAGCTTTAATGTCAGACATTAAAGTCAAGTAAATTTGTGAAAGGAATTACAGGTCGTATTTTTAAACTTTTCAAATCAATTGTCAATTTTATTATCTTTGCAAATATTAAATAATTTTATTGTGTGTAACTGTGCATTATATACATACATGTATACATGTGTATGCAGGTACAGTCATCAAATTTAGCACTGGCCTGGTGGCCCATGGCCAGTGAAAAATAGTTCGAGCCAGTGAAAATTTTATGAAAATTTAGTTAATTAAATATATAGTAGAATAAATTCAAAACTGGAATTCAGACTAGTTAATTCAAAATCTTAAATTCATTGACTGCATGTATATAACTTCACTGTCAGATACATTTACAGAAATACAGGAATAGTTTATATGATGGAGATGATATTGTTGGTCAGTGTTGGGACTGGTTTGGTTTTCATCACCTTGATTTTTGGTTGCATGTAAGTAAAGCTATGAATTTATCTTGTTTTTCTTCTTGATGTATATTGATAATGAAAAGCAATAATGTAACTATAAAAAGGCTGCAAACTGCACTGACTAGAGATGCAGAGATACATTAGCAATATGGTGTCAAGGGGGCAAATGATCGGATGCTAGCAAACTTCACCACGCTGATAATGCTTCTTTCTTGCAACATGATTTACCATTTACATATTAACCAAGTGGTTAAAGTCATTTATTTCAAACCATTTGCCCCTCACTGCTGTTGTCTTTAATCCCGAATCAGACTCTGGATTCTTTTATGTGAAGAAGCTATCCAGGTAACCTGTGGAGCATCGGTGGTTCTACGTCTGCAAGTGAAACAATGCACAAATGGGCACCTTAGATCTTTCTTAACCAATAAAGCTGGAATCTACGATGTTAGTACCACTGAAACAAAATACCATTTGACTTACATAAAATTACAGATTTACAAACACTAAGATGTCATAAATACATTATTGCACTTACGCTCATTCAATATCCTCTATTAATTAAGCTACATTAGGTTGTTGAAATGATAACAAATAAATGTTTATCTAAATGATAACACTGACTTTTACTGTATATGTGGTGAAGTAAATGATGCAAAAATATTTGCAAATTTCCATATTGACAAAAATCACTAAAATTTTCTTTAGCATAATATTATATATCGACCAATATATTTTCTCATTAAATTCTACCCTGGCAAGATATGCTAATATTGACAAATTTGGGAAATGTCTGGAATTTTAAATTCTGTAACTTTTGACACTCAGAAATATCCACTTATACAGTAATTGCTATCTTTGGAATTTTTCAGGAGTTGCAGACGGAAATTAACAGATGAGGAGATTCAACAGAAATACTTCAGGAAGTTCAGCAAACGTCATATAATCAACAGAGTGGATTATGTGCGGTCAGTTGCAGAGGTAATATTTTTTGATATTCACATAAACAAAATGTTCCTAAACCTTATCAGTTATGATAGGATTAACATTTTATCATGCAACAGTTGCTGTGGCAACTGTCCGATAACACTTTTCTGATAGCTTTTTTTAAAGATCAAAATAGTAATCTGATATTGAAAAGTAAGCCCCTTAAATAACAACAGACTTTTTTCAATAGCTAATAGATGTATAAAGAGCTAGATAATAAGACATGACAAAGTAGGGCCAGAAGGTAATAACTGTCCTGCAGAATAAATAATGGCCTGGAGGGCTTAATTTAGCTCAAGGATGTTATTTATTTCAGGGCTGTTTATCACATTCCAACCTGCCTTTAATCTACAGTAACAGTATACAGAGTTGCCTCCCTTTAATACAAAGTGTACAGTAACATATACAGAGTTGCCTCCCTTTAACACAAAGTGTTCAGTAACATATACAGACTTGCCTCCCTTCAACACAAAGTGTACAGAAACATATACAGAGTTGCCCCCTTTAACACAAAGTTCACTGGAAAAAAGCTAGTTTTATTTTCTCAAAATAAAATTGTTGTTTTTGCCCTGGGCTACAAAATCTCATAATCAGTCATGTGACATTCATAATCTGGTCATTTGATTACTATTTTAATCTACAGGCTGAAAATGCAACCAATTTTAACAGCATAACAACCGATGATATGGATCGCCAAACTCTTACAATGTAAACTCTGGTCTGCTATTTATAGCTGAAAAGTTTTCACCAATTAATAGTTTAAACATTTTTTATTGCTAATAAATAAATAAATATATAAAAAAAAACAGTAAGTTTTCGGGGGGAAAATAGCAATAGGGTAGGTCTGGTTGTGTTCTTATAACATAAGCAATCCGCTTACTACCACCCCCTAAAATAGTTATGGTATTGTATCAATATGAAAAAAATAAAAGTACAATGTTTTATAAGAAATAATTAAAACTGTTGAAAGATTGAATGCCAATAAAACATCATGTATTTGAAAGGAAATATTTTAAATTTGTAGATGAAGCAAAAATCTCAGAGAAATGATGAGAATTGTCAAACGAAAGATGAAAGGTCCACACTAGCAGATCCCCACCCACCTGTTGTCAATGGTAATCTATTCTGTATTTATTGTTACAACAGATTTTGCATTAAAATAAAAGAAAAGTTACTTAAACAGTACATGAAAATTTGTATATAATTTGAAGAGGAAAAAAATTGATTGTCGCCAAAGACTAAGCTCTGTGCTGTTGGCTTAACTGAGGAGTTTATATATGGCTTAACTTAGGAGTTTATATATGGCTTAACTTAGGAGTTTATATATGGCTTAACTTAGGAGTTTATATATGGCTTAACTTCTGAAATCCCATTAAGTAATACATTCAAACTGTGATCAAAGGCCACCCAAGTGTGAAATAAATATACTAAAAGTGGTCTTTATTGACAAGTAATCTTCATTTAGAGGTTACTGTATTCAATTTTATCATTGAAAAGTTATCAAAAGTGGCCATTATTTGCAGGGTTATCTTGAATCAGAGGTGGTCTTTCAGGACAGGTTAAACTGTTATGAACTGTTTCATGTCCATAATGCTCAAATTCATAAAACGAAATGTAAATTTCAGTATAAATAATGATTATAAATGAACCTCTTGTAATAAATACTCATGGTTCTTAACCTATCAATAAGGCCTTTGTGAGGCTTTGTAATGGCATGATATCAGCTGTGCTAAGTCATCTGTTATCCATGATTTATACTATCCTGCTAGCTTACGCAACATAGCTGGTTCAATTTAGGTGCCCATTTGTGCCTGAAATAATACATAGAAGGGAACTTGAGTTATTTCTCCACCAGTAAAGCTGGAATATCGCCATATGACCTATACTGATTTGGTGTGAAGTAAAACCCAATTAAACAAACAAACAAATCCATAATTTAAACAAAATCTCTTTCTAGCTATTACTAGACTTGAGGTGAGCTATGTAGACCAAGGTCATCCTTAAAAAAATGTTTGTTTGCAGTAACGCGACCGACTCACAAAATTTGCCCCTACTCAAAAATTTTTTTCATGGTCTGGATAAAAAAAAAATTTTTTTTGAATCAGAAAATTATGCCTTGTGCTTTGTTTTCGTTCTTTTAAAGGTTAATAGAAGAAATAAAATGTAGGTCTTATTAAATTAGAATTCAGTTATCAATTTATTTTTTCCAGCATTTTTAAATTCCATGTTTATTTGGGAGTACAGTTCAATAAAAAAAAAAATCGACCTACCTACCCACCTTGAAAATTCTAGGTCGGTTAATGCAAACAAACATTTTTTTAAGGATTGCCCCATTGTGTAGTTCTCTTGTTACCTGATAATCCTATGTTTATTTTTTCAGTTGAAGGACCAACTTCTCCACTGAGGAGTGACTACAGTTTCTTTGATGATTCATTTCAGACAGTGATAGAGGTATACATTCTATCTTAATTCATAACCACTATTATTAATATTTATAATGCCTAAATTTAGGTTGAATATTATTTGGAGTTGCAGAAGAGACTAATAGATATATAAACTAGTACAGATAAATTTTGTGACACTGAAATATTAAAGTTTGAAGCTGAGCATCTATTCCGAAGAAAAATTTGAGATATTACGATGGCTGGGTCATCGTTGTTGTCGTAGTGCAAAAATAAAATTAAATACAGCCCATCATTCAAACATTTTAGAAGTTATCATCATGAAACTTGGAACACTTGCTTATCATGACAAGGTCCAGTTGTTTAACTTACGGTATCATTCTTAAAGCTATATTTTTGGTGTCAGCCCCTGTTTTACTTTCGTCTTTTAATTAATAATGGTTATTGATAGCTGTTACCCTTTACACTTGAGCGTTAACGCCACATGTGGTGATCTTGAATTCTTTTCTTTAGGTATCCAGTAGCAACGGGACCAGTATGAGTAACGGAGACAGCCAGAATCAGCTGATGGTATCAAAGGACCCTTTCGCCTCCTACCTCTCCCTTCACAATAGTGAGTCACAACCGTGTCTCGGAAACGGGACATCATCTCATCACGTTGTGTCAGAAACTGAAGGTAACTCGCCCTCTAACCTCATTATTTTCTGAATTGGACTTGTCCATCTTCCATTTTGGGACTGTCCATTATCAGTTTTTAGCGAAATCAAGATGTAAATTCTGTCAGCTCACTGGTTTGGAAATATTCCAGACTGTCTGGCGTATTTCCATACTGTTAGCGGTTTTTCCTTTTAAAACTGGGGGCCAAAGTTAAATAAAAATTTTGGTTCAGAAAGTTTAAAGGCAAGGGTTAATTTTTATTTTAAAGAAAATTTTTAAATCCTTTTTAAAAAATATTTTATCTGCTGATTTAAAGGGTAATGTGATTTTTCTAAAACCCAAGTGTTTTTTTTCCCTGCCCTGGCATGACTTGATGTATATATACACTTGTATAGGAAAACACCCAAAAGTCTTCTTGTGTGAATCTTCAAAGCCCAGAGCTTAGATATTTCATATTTGGTATGTAGCATCAAAACACATGAACCTGACACTGATGCACCGCTTAGTCTTACTGACAGTGCTATATCGAGTTTGAGTTATACTAATGAGGGGACTGAATTACATTCAAAAAGACTGCGCAACCTAAATACCTTGATGATTATATTACATAGACATATACTTAATTAATGTTTTAGTTACCATGTTTGTATTGTTGTTTTGTTAAAAGTTTATTGGTTTGATTATTAAGAGTGTCTCAATTATAAGACTATATTTCATTAATTGGTTTATCTTAAAAGGATAATTATGTATATGTTATTAAGTTAAATTTCAAAAAGAAAGAAAGGTAAGCGCCATAGTGTATTCAGGTACGGTTTGTCAGCGTACGGAATGGTACGGACATATACAGAACATTATTGAAAAAGAGTTGTTCCCCTTTGTCTTACATGTACGCCATTTATCACACACCCGTGCCGATTTTGCGACTCCGTAAATATGGTATTGCACGGCCGTGCATATATTTTGACGTGACGTCATTAGCGTTATACAAACATATAGTAAAGACGCGCTAAATGTTAGCGTTATACTATAGGCGCGTCAATGAAAAATGACTCTTATTTCACTTAAAACGGTCTTATTTGGGTATGTGATAAATAGAATATTAAATTTGTGTAAGTTCATTACTGAATTTATTCAATATTGAACTTACCTCATTCAATATCCTCTATTTATTGCCGAATCTTTAGGCAATATTATTAAACTACAAAACTCATACATTTGTGTGTTTCTATACCGTTAAGCCTTACTGGCGCTCTATATTATGCATATAGCATTGTCTAGTAGACCTCTACAAAAGTTTTATGAATTATGCATGTAGGGTCAAAAAATGCCTCCACCTTGGCGGTCATATAGTTTCATAAGGATAATTAAGATAAAACAATTTTCAAATTTGACAAATTTCTTGATTGGGTTTCTACTCTTAGAGTCTTGAATTGAAAGATTTTCTATGATTACTCAAATTTACATTCAGACGTAATATTGCCCCAATTATGCAGTATGCTTGTTGTTGTTTTGGGGTTTTTTATAAATAAATTTTATTAAATTTCCAGGGGAAGTGAATGCAGCCTTTTCAGATAGACCAAACAGTTCATCTTGTAATTCAGGATCAACTTGCTCCCTGTTTGACTCTTACATAGTGTGTAACACTGGACCAAAAATACACATCATTCAACCCAGTATTAAGAGAACGATGGATTATGAAATCCCTGCTGTAACCAAAGAAACTGATAAAACAAGTGTGCTTCGGCTCAATGTGGGTTTGTTAGGAGAGAAATGCCCCCCGGGTCTGAAACCCGGCCCAAAGCGTTAAATTTATATTTCAAATTTCTGAAACCGGGCTTCAGGAAATAAACCCGAGAATTTGGGAAAATGACAAAATGGGTGGAAATTTAATTCAAAAATTTTTGAAGGAAAATGAAAATATGAAAAGGGAAAAGGGTTTTCAAAAAAAAATTTTTAGTTGGGAAGGGCAAAAAACAATTTAAAAAAAAGCCCTTTTCAAAAACCCCATTTGAAAATTTCCCCAGTTTTAAGGGGTGAAAAATAAATGTTAAAAAATTTATTAAAAAAGGAAAGTCTTTTTTGTTTGCCAGGAAAACCAAAAGGGTGTGTTCACCCATAGTTAAACCCCTTTCAAGGTCCCCGAATTTGTAACCCCCCGGCAAAGGGGCAAGGTTGTTTCTCCTGCAGGGCAAAGGGCAATTTGGCCTTCCCCAAAAAAAGGTTTAAAATCAAAGTTTTTTTTTAAAAGGATCGGGTACTCTGACCAAAACTTAGACAGTATAAATGTGAAAATTTTCCGGTTTAAATCAAAAAGTTGAGATTTTTGCCCCCAGTGTTGAAAGTGACTATGACACAACATCAGTAAAATGAATTTTTTACGGTATTTTTAACACTCCCCGGGACACCCAGGTGTTCACTGATAAAAAAATGATTTAAGGCTCGTGTCCGGACAACATATGAAAGTTTAAACAACCCCTTTTCAGTAGATAGGGGGGAACCCAGAACCTGGAAAAATTTTGCTTTTAAAAATTGGGGCCCTGAAATCTTGATAAAAAAACATTTCTCCAACAGAATCCAGAACAAGTTCAAACAGAAAAGACAAGAAGAAACCACAAACCAGTCTATGAAAATGTTGGCGGTAGGTAAAGATAGTGGAGATAGATACAGTCCATTCCCAGTCGCTAAAAAGCTTGCTTTTAAACCTGCTTTTAAACAAGTGTCCTCACCAAGGTTCTCAATGATCCAGACTGTGACTGAAAATGTAACCAGTCAGTTAGGGTACCCACCAAAAATGTTCCTTGATGACCTGAACATTAAAACGCCTGAAATAAAGGTAGATAACAACTCACAATTCTTTGACGATACAGCTTTTATATCTCAAGATGTGCTGAATGCAAACACAGTCAATAAAAATGAAAAATGTATAAACATAGAAGATTTTGTCGCACCTCTGTGTAAATTCTTGTACCAGTCTGTGGAAAGTGATATACAGTCTAAAGTGGGCTGGTCCAATCTAAAAACAAGTCATGCGGAAAAAAATATGTATTGTAATAAAAGTTTGCCTTCACTCTCTGATCATTTAGAGGAAGAATTTGAACTACACTGCAACTCCAACATATACACAAGGTCGACACCATGTGATCTTGACACTGAAAACTGTAATTTCTTCTGAGGCATTAGTTACTGCAAATATTACAACTTTGTTTAAAATTGAGCCAAGTCATGACAAAACCAACATAATGGGTTTGCGACCAGCATGGATCCAGACCAGCCTGCGCATCCGCGCAGTCTGATCAGGATCCATGCTGTTCGCTTATCAACTCTATTACAAGTGGAGAAACTGACAGCGAACAGCGGATGCGCAGGCTGGTCTGGATCCATGCTGGTCGCAAACCCATTATGTTGGTTTTGTCATGACGCGGCTCATTTTTTGGTCAAATATCTTTGGTTGAAGTGCTATCAAAATTGCTAGTATATATTCAAATTATGAACTACCTCATACTTGTTTAAGTTGCTTTTATAATGATATAATTTTTGTAACTGGATGATCACACAGTTGTTTGTAGTCGGTGCATCGTGTACATACTATATTTCCAAGTAAATCCTACTGATTTTAACCTGTTTCTTAAAATTTACGACTAGTAAAAACTTCTGATAGCTGTGTAATTTTGTTACTGTCTAGCACTCTAGGTACACTACAAGTTTAAGCCAAATAAAATGGTTATCGGGACTGAAACATCTACCAAATTATAAAGCTGTCCAATTGACAGCTGATCAATTAAGATAAGCATATACTTATGCCATTATTGTTAAAAAAAATACTTTAATAAATTGTTATAAAATCATGTACACTAAATGTATGTTAAAATCTTACACCAGTTGTATGATATTTCTCTAATTATAACTTACATTTCTATACAGAGAAAAATATACCCTTTCACAATGATCAACTGGATAAAATGGTGGTGTGTGCTGAATAAATCTACCTGTGCTTGCCCCGTTACATGTACCGGTATATAATGTCCCAGGATTACAGTCTTAATAATGTTAATATATTTCTACACGTTTAGGCAGGATCAGGAAATCCTGTGATTTTTTCAGGACAAATTCTCAAGACTTCTCAGGATTTTCCGGGATAGTCACAGGATTTATTGTTCAGTTTTTTGCATTGGTCATTTTGAATATTTAAACATAACCTTGACCCCAAAAAATGACCTGCAGTTTCAAGGTCAAATTTTCAATGACAAGGACATTCCACATTAACTTAGTTATCATGTAACAAGTTTAGAATGGAGGCATTTTGTATGATAATTACGTTTTTGAATGCCTTTTTTATTATTTATCTCTTATGCTAGCTTAACTAAATCATTAATAATAGAAATATGCTAGATTTTATTTGATTTAAAAATTTGCATATGTCTTGTCAGTTCCTATAAAGCAGCATGCCTCAAGATTTATGCTAATTTTCATAAAAAAAATTTAAAATATATCAAAAAATATTGTCATGTGAACAAAGAAAGTAATTTACACATTACAAACTGCACTTAAAATCTACGAATTTTGCCACCAAACATAGGTCAAAATATGCAAATGCAGTAGAAATATGGTGATAACTAGTCATTAATGGCATATAAAATGTAAATTATTTCTTGAATTGTGAATATTTTGCCGTTTATTAAAATCTTATTACATTTTTCTCAAGATTAGTTTTATTGAAATATGTCGACTCATCTGGAGGTATGCTGTTTAACAAAATCATTTATAATGGACATCATTGTGCTTGAATATATTCTATTTCAAAAATGTGCCTAATCTGGTCAGTTCATTTGAAGTGTATCAAGCTATTATCTGATAAATAATTTTGTAGAAAAATTTAAGACAGTAAAATTGTGTTGTTTTCATGAAGTTGTGGTGAATTCTTGAATGATTTGTAACATTGGTTGTCTATATAATTCAATATACATGAATATTGTACAAAAAACAGAATGAAATATGCTGGAACAAAATATTCCACTGCTATTTTTGAAGGTTTAGCCTGTCCCTTTTGCTTTCAATGAAATACACTGACAAATTTCTTTCATTCCAGGTATTCTGTAATCTTTTTAATCACAAAATAAACAATATTTTTACAATAATTTATACAGTCATCAAAAATTGATATATAGCTTTATTTGCTTTAAAATGTATTGAAGTTTATATTAAAAGCCCATTATGCTCCAGAAATGCTTTCAGTTTTATTTCTCAAAATGTTTTTATTTTTGATATATTATTCTATAGTTTACATGAAGTTCTTCAGTGGCCAATTACATGAGCTGTCTTCTTTTTCTGTTGCTTTTTGGCAATTAGTATGTTTATAGTAATTAAATATTTTGTATGGAAGTCAAAATAATGTTTTGTTTACATTTTGCTGATTTTATGACAATATTTTACATTTAGCACTACTTTTTTCAGATAACATTAGCATTTAACTTGCTCTAAAACCATTATTCAAACGTTACAAAACTAATGTTTGACCTTTCTAAACAAGTAATTATTTATTCATTTTTGAAGGATAATAATAATTTATTATTTATAATAACACCTTTAATAATTGATGAACTATTCACATTCAGATGCATACACACTTGTACATTGATAGTCTATGTTATATTATTTAGATGAAATTTTATTCATATTGTAGACTTTAGCTCTAGTATAAAGATTATACAAAGTATATGGAGAGCTGTCCTACAAAGTTTTTGTGCAATAAAATATTGTTGGCTCACCTGAGCCCAAAGTGCTCAGAAATGAGTTTCCATGATGGCAGTGTGTCAGTTACAAATGCTCAAAAACCATTATTTAAATGTTTTCTTTTTCTAAGGAAATAAACATTTATTTGTTAAAGGGACTCCACTGAGGTTTTTTGGCTTGACGTGACTGGCAACAATGTATCGTGATTAATGTTCCATTTTATGAGGGGGTAGAACAATAACTTGTGTGCAAAATTTCAGATCATTTAATTACTCTGTTTTTCCGAAATAATCATTGTTATCGTAAAAAATGACCGAAAAATTGAAAATGCTTTTCACTCGAATTGGGCTTAGAATAACGCAAAAATAAGATTAACAATTTATTTCTGAGTATATTTCGTAATTATCTTCTGCATATCGTTATGTGTTAAGTACCCCAGCTGATCTTTGGAAAAAAATATTTTATTGTTTTAGGCTTTTAAACCTCAGTGGAGTTCCTTTAAATCTTTCAGTATTGTTTCTCAGGTAACTCAGGTTACTGTTTCTGTAATTACCATAATGTGCTAATCAGTTTATATCAACATTTATTATTATAAAATTCAAAACATTTCATCACCTTTGTGCAGTAATGGTTTCACTCCAATTAACTTTTAAAGGGAGTTGACCCATTTCTGCACTTTGGTGACAATTTTATCATTCATAATATATTATGTGATTATGTAGAATTTGTGAGTTGTTATAAATTTTATTGTCTTTGTGTAAAGTAAATGTATTAACATTTTAAAAAAATAAAGATATTTATTTCTTCAAAAGAAATTTTGCATTACTTGATCTGTATAATATTACTATCCTGTACAAAATGTTCTGCCCAGAAATAGAACGGAATTACCACACAGATTCATTCCTGGAATTACGATAATCTGGTCAAACTTTACCAGTACTGTTCTAACCACACGGATTCTTTCCAGAATTATGGTAATCTGGTCAAACTTTACATGCTTACTTACAAAGACAAAGGCCATGATCCTCTTATGTAACACATTTGAGGCATCTATTGTTTTCTAAGTTATCTGCCCTTTATACACTTGAAATTGATATGGTTAACCTTTTTTGGTAACTTGGAGATATTCTATGTTCTAAATAGAATGATATCTTCAAACTTTATACACTTATTATCTAAGAAACAGGCCATGCCAGATCCAGACAAGTTGTATGACTTTTTCATAGTTATCTTCCCTTTGAATACTTTGAAATAAGATATGGTAAACCTGTTTTTGCAAAATGATATATCTAACGCTGTGCTTGATTCCTGTTTTTGCAAAATGATATATCTAACGCTGTGCTTGATTCCTGTTTTTGCAAAATGATATATCTAACGCTGTGCTTGATTCCTGTTTTTGCAAAATGATATATCTAACGCTGTGCTTGATTCCTGTTTTTGCAAAATGATATATCTAACGCTGTGCTTGATTCCTGTTTTTGCAAAATGATATATCTAAAGCTGTGCTTGATTCAATGGCTATATGATTTATACTTTTCAAATCCACGATTATGATAAGTTCTTTTACTGTGTCATATTTTCCCTTAGTTATTTCCACTTTGGAAAAAGGGCAGGCTAACTCTATTTTGGCAAGTCTGAACACTATAGCTTCACTATGTACAGCTTTATTTGTAATTCTTTTATTCATTACTGAGGGCTCGTGCATCCTTTTTCCATAGTTAGCTCCCTTTTTATACATTTAGAAAGTAGATGTAGGTAAAATATACCTACTAAATCTTTTATCTTATCTATCTTCTTTTCCTGTCAAAACTTCCGACAAGGTTGAACTCAGTCAGCATGTCCAGCTCCTATAAAAGTTTCTAAAAATGAAAAAAAGATTAAAAAAATCTTATTACATTTAAAATAAACAGTGGGAAAATGTAAAGATTTGGTTAAAAGTAAAAACATTCGATAATCGGAAACAGCAATACTGAACTGTGTTATTAAGACTGGGCAATACAACAATATTAGGGGTAGACTATCCCAGTTGACGGCCCTGATTGTGGTAACTGGGATAACCCCGAGTATAGCTCAGCATGTGGACATGTTGAAAGGCTCTCCCTAATGATGTAAGTTAACCTTTTAACTACGAAATGCCGTTAGGGCCATCGCCTATGAATGTGTTGATCTGAAACGCGATAGTCAATAGTACGATGGTGAAAACGCGAAATCACGAAACTACAATGGTGAAAACGCGAAATCACGATGATGAAAACGCGAAGGTATGATGATGAAAACGCGCCAGTACGATACTACGATGATGAAAACGCGATAAACTATCGTGTTTTCACCATCGTACTGTCGCGTTTTCACCATCGTAGTTTCGTGATTTCGCGTTTTCATCATCATACTGTCGTGTTTTCATCATCGTACTATCGCGTTTTCACCATCGTACTATCGCGTTTTCATCATCGTACTGTCGTGGTTTTCATCATGGTACTATCGCGTTTTCACCATCGTACTGTCGTGTTTTCATCATCGTACTATCGCGTTTTCATCATCGTACTATCGCGTTTTCATCATCGTATTATCGCGTTTTCACCATCGTAGTTTCGTGTTTTCACCATCGTACTATCGACTATCGCGTTTCAGATTAACACATTCATAAGCGATGGCCCTAACGGCATTCCGGAATGCCGTTAGGGCCATCGCCTATGAATGGTTTGATCTGAAACACGATACTCGACAGTACGATGATGAAAACGCGAAATCACGAAACTACGATGGTGAAAACGCAACAGTACGATGGTGAAAACACGATAGTTTATCGCGTTTTCATCATCGTATTATCGTACTGGCGCGTTTTCATCATCGTACTATCGCGTTTTCATCATCGTGCTTTCGCGTTTTCACCATCGTAGTTTCGTGATTTCGCGTTTTCACCATCGTACTATCGACTATCGCGTTTTAGATCAACACATTCATAGGCGATGGCCCTAACGGCATTCCGTATTTAACCCATTACTTCATGAGCATTTTGTGAAAAATGGCTGTTTTCATTGAAAAGTCTCCCGTTACAAGTTCAAATTGCTATAATACTATAAAAACTGCTTCAACACTAATCAAACTTGGCACAAATGTTGACTGGACCATTGCCCTTGCAACAACATGCTCAGGCTTACATTTTCTGTTACCATGGCAACGAGGGGACATCTCAAAATTGCCAAAAATCACTATTTTGCGTTGATTTTTTCCATCACAATTGATTTCAAAGTGCTGCAACTTCTCAATGGATTGAGATAGAGTCAAATGCTTTTCAGCGTTGGTTACACGTTACCTTATGATCAATCTGGGGTCATTTACAGCCTCTCACAAGTCCAAAATTTTCTTGGCGATGAGGGGGACTCCGCCCCCCCCCCCCCTCAAACCCCCCAAACAGAAGGGGGCACATCCTCCTTCTGGCAACCCCCTGATGTATCTTTTGGTTGGGGGGGCCGCGCCGAAAAAGAGGTCACTTTTTTAACAACATTTCTCAAACAAAAACAAGTGTTTGGGGCCTAAATAAGGCATTTTTTCATCATTTGAGACAACAAAAAAGGGGGGGGGGTGAAAAAGGCGTTAAAAGGCGTGTATATGAAGTAATGGGTTAACAGAAAATGATGAAAATACTTGAAATTACCCTTAATCGCGTTTTTTCATGTTTAAACATGGCCTGTCATATAAATTTGAAGAAAAATTGTTGTTTTGTAGATTCTTTTATTTTTTCATTAAGGGGATGACAATAATTATCAGTGATTTTGAACATTACGGAGAGTCTATGTACAGTCAAAACGATGAAAATCATTTAAGAGTCTAGCATCTGGGTAACACTGGATGTGCGTCCAATTTTGACCGATTTGACTCATTGCGAAGATCTTGTTTGGACAGATTCTATATCTGATCAATTTGAGTTTGACTGTAAGGGGAGTACAGATTTCAGATACATGGATATTTTAGCTGTGGTCAAACCAGGGTCTTATATATCATGGTCTGGTTCCGAGTTTATATTAAATTAATATTACGTACGGCATATGAAACAAATTAAGGGTTTGAAATGCCTTAAATTCTTTCGTTGACCTGTAAGCTTTTATGTGCTCGTCCCCTTCTTTTGATGTATGAAAACCCCGTTAATTTGCCAATGGTGTAGCCTCTAAATTAAGTAGTTCAATGAAGAGGAGAATTCGTTGGTATAGGAGTTTTCTTTCTTGTGACAATATACTTGACATTTGGATGGGTTGAACTATACCGGGACACTGCATGCATGTCCCAATACAACTCCCTCTTTTCTGAGGTAGTAAAGTCTTTTTTAAGAGTATCCGTTTGCTAGGGTTATAGGTTTATAGCAGTATCATCTATCATACATCAGCAAAGATTAGACGTCCTATGGGAGGTCATTTATTTTAAAATGTTTTTAATAGTTTTTCATTGAGAAATAATTCCATTTCAAATCTTTCTGCATTAGAAAACACTAGATCTAATAACAGTGCTTTGATATTTAGGCATTTTCTTTTTTACTGTGTTATTTTGACATTTTATGGTTGTCATGGCAACATATAACTCGTGCAATTGCCCCTTTCCCGCAAAAATAGAACTGCACACGTATGCATACAATCATTGATGCCGAAAGCCGTACCATTATTTTGACCGCCGTGTAAAGGAAGAAAATATGCAAAAAAAATGTTACTATTTTTTTATATTTTATTTTTCTTCAAAATTTATATTGAAAATAAAATTATTTGCCATTAAAACGATACGTGTGTTTTTATTTGATTTATATGACCAATGGACGTAAACATTGCAGGTCCGCAGGGAAATAATTGGTTGGGGGAAAATGGCGACAGGTAAATCTAAGCTCACAACTGGAAGATTTAAATGCCTTTCCACCGTAATTTTAGGTGGAAATGAGATCAGATTTGTTGGGATGAACGAAGAAAACAATGGTGTACATTTTCCCAAGGATGTCAATTACGTAAGTACGGCTGATGTTGATAATTTCGTCAAAAAACATTTTGTTTACTGCTTTTTTGAAGGCAAGACGAGTCCAAATGAACTAAAGGCAAGACTCGGAAACAAATGTGCCGAGTTAAATAAACTCATGAACAGTCCTGTCCATTCTGATTTTGAGCTGGATAAAATATTGGAAATTGTTATTCTAAAACCTAATGCAAGAATGGACATCTGCCTATAGCTCATCTGTTTGTCCGTCCATCCATCCATCCAGTCATCTATCCTGCATCACTTCTCTTTGGCTAAAGAAGACTTGGCTCTTACTTATTATTACAAAAATGATTTGTAAGAGGACTCCTTACCATTATATTCTTCCTCAAATGCGTTTTACTTTAGAAATAAGAAAAAGTCGAATGGGGCACCCTCTAGGCAGTGACTCTTGTTGTTCATTTGCACAGTTGTCAAAATTTTGAAAAAGAACACATTTAAGTAATTTCACTTAATCTGTATTTTGTTTACATTCACAGTGTCCAGGAAGATTGCTGTTTGTCGCTTCAGATGTGATGCGAAGCTCAAAAATAAATAGGAAAAACTTTACAAGAGTCATCACAAGATTTTCCAAAATCGGATTTGCTGTAAAAATGAGACTATTAGGTACACATTTACAATTTTTGTTAAGTTTTCAAGTTTCTTTTCAGGCTGACAAGTGTGCCTTATGAAATTTATAATTTTTAGCCCAACTATTTGAAGAATACGGACATGTTTTTGTGTGCAAATTGGCATCTACATAATTACTGAATGGAATGGTTTGAAACTTAAAACACATTTTTTGAGAGCATGATACAAGTCCATTATTCAAGGACCATAACTCTTTAACATGAATTTTGACAGAATAATGGCCCTTTTTAAACTCTTGTTCTACTATCAATAAGCTCCGAGAATACTAGTAGTGTAGCATGCTGCCCTACCAACAGTTCTTGTTATTAGACTTATGTATGAATTGAATATTCGTATAATAAATGATAATCAAATATGGGATGACTTCAATACACTTATTATAAATTTTTTATCTGCAGGTTTCAAGATAGATGGTATTAACAATGGTGGAGTTATCTGGTTCTTCAGTATTCAAGGACTGTTTCGTGTTGCCTTTAATTTGGGTAACATGGCTTTTCAGAAGGACTGTTTGTCCAAGCTACAGGTCAGTATAAATAAAATCTCTCCAAGCTGTGAAATGGTTATATAAAAAAAAACATCACTCTAAAACTGTCATTTTTACATATATGCATAATGTTCGCAGTTCGTTAAAGAAGTCACAGTATCTTGCAAGCCTTTAATATTCCATGTGTACCAGGTCTTGCGATTACCAGCACTTGCTACTTCAGATCACTGTACCTTTCTTGGGAGCATTATACTATGTACATTTCAACTTGTACTGTTCTTGCTATAACTGGGAGTAGATTTGTTTATACACTGTTATTGATATAAAGCAGCGCAGGATATTAACAAGTGAGAAGTTTCATTTTAATTCATTTGGCATAAAATTTCAGTTGACTGTACATGTATGATTTAATTTTACTTAGAAAGCAGTGTTGTTTTTAATTTTTATGTTGACAATTGAATTAATTCCACTTCCTCATTAATTCCAATTTTCTTTGGGAATTTTGATATTGTTTAGATGATCATGAAGAAAATTTTACGACTTTAATTTCAGGAGGTTTGGTTGAAACGTTATCATGATCCTGCCTTGCCTTCAAACGGCGTTCTTAAATTCAATAAGCGGTTCAAGGAAATACCTCATGACTGTGTCCTGTCAAATGTTTACCATCCACAAAATATGGAGCTGGAAAATGAAGCCAGAACACTTCAGGGTAGAGCATGCTCGAGCACCAGTATTGTTGTAGCAAATAAAAGTTGGTCTCTTCAGAGACCCGACGAAGACTATTCAGACGAGATTGCCGATACAGAAAGTATGTGTAGGTGTGTAGAGAACTGTAATTGCAGCCCAGGGTTTACTATAGGAGAAACAGTGACAAGGGCAGAAACATCTGAGTCTGGGATTAAGTCGGTTACGAGTGATACTAGTTTAGACTTCAACTCGGATACACCTCATCACAGACAGAATTGTGACCCGCCTAGTGCAGGAAAATTTCGCCAAAAACTAGTTCATCTCATTAAAACGTCATATTTTGAGGAAGTTTCATGTCCATTTGCTCATCAATTGTTGCTAGTTTATGATTATCTTAACTATTTCATGAATTCAGAAGAAACAGATTTATTTGAAAACTTTGGAAGTGTTTTATTTAAGATAATGGAGGAGTTTTTGTTATTAGTCACTATGGATGACGAGTTACCGGATGCGTTTAAGAACACGAGTAGAATGCCTCAAGAAAGATTTATCCTACTGCATTTGCTCAGCGACTGGGTTGGAAAGGAATTTCATGATCTTGAGGGCGTGATTAAAGAAAATGTTGAAACATTCAAGAAAGATAATATCACTTGTATAGACAGTTTGCCATCGGCTGAAACTATTACTAAAACTTTATTTCCGTCATTTATGAGAATATTTGTTACTAATTGGCTCGGATTTCAGAACGAGGATTCTTTATTGCATCAAAATTCTGAAACTTCATCAATGTCCGACCATTGTTATACACAGGTTGAAAAGGTGAAAGGTCAAGGTAGTATAAACTACCAATTGGTTCAGTTGATTCTAGAATTTGGGTCAAACTGTCTTATATCTGGGATAGGTCACGTGGTCTTTTCAAGGTTACAAATTGAAAATAATGCAGATGCTTAAAAATTATGCATAAGCTGTGGGAAAGACCAGAGGAAGGTTCAATCAGGCAATAGATACAGGTTGATCAATACGTTTGTAAACTTTGAATTACCGGCCTTTTTAGCTCACCTGTCACAAAGTGACAGGGTGAGCTTTTGTGATCGCTTTACGTCCGGCGTCCGTCCGGCCGTCCGTCCGTAAACTTTTGCTTTAAATGACATCTCCTCATAAACCACTGAGCCAATTTCATCCAAACTTCACAGGAATGTTCCTTTGGTGGTCACCTTTAAAAATTGTTCAAAGAATTTAATTCCATGCAGAACTCTGGTTGCCATGGCAACCGAAAGAAAAATCTTTAAATATCTTCTTTTAAACAACCCTAAGAGCTAGAGCTTAGATATTTGGCATGAAACATCTTCTAATGAGTGTCTACCAAGTTTGTTCAAATAAAAGCCCTGGGGTCAAAATTGGCCCCGCCCCGGGGGGTCATTGATTTTCCCTATATGCATATAGTAAAAACTTAAAAAATCTTCTTTTAAAGAACTGTAAGAGCTAGAGCTAAGATATTTGGCATGGAACATCTTCTAGTGAGTGTCTACCAAGTTTGTTCAAATAAAAGCCCTGGTGTCAAAATTGGCCCTGCCCCAGGGGGTCATTGAATTTCCCTATATGCATATAGTAAAAACTTTAAAAATCTTCTTTTAAAGAACTGTAAGAGCTAGAGCTTAGATATTTGGCATGAAACATCTTCTAGTGAATGTCTACCAAGTATGTTCAAATAAAAGCCCTGGGGTCAAAATTGGCCCCGCCCCAGGGGGTCATTGATTTTCCCTATATGCATATAGTAAAAACTTAAAAATCTTCTTTTAAAGAACCCAAAAAGCTAGAGCTAAGATATATGGCATGAAACATCTTCTAGTGAATGTCTACCAAGTTTGTTCAAATAAAAGCCCTGGGGTCAAAATTGGCCCCGCCCTGGGGGGTAATTGATTTTCCCTATATGCATATAGTAAAAACTTAAAAATCTTCTTTTAAAGAACCGTAAAAGCTAGAGCTTAGATATTTGGCATAAAACATCTTCTAGTGAATGTCTACCAAGTTTGTTCAAATAAAAGCCCTGGGGTCAAAATTGGCCCCGCCCCAGGGGGTCATTGATTTTCCCTATATGCATATAGTAAAAACTTAAAAAATCTTCTTTTAAAGAACTGTAAGAGCTAGAGCTTAGATATTTGGCATGAAACATCTTCTAGTGAATGTCTACCAAGTTTGTTCAAATAAAAGCCCTGGGGTCCAATTTGGCCCCGCCCCAGGGGGTCATTGATTTTCCCTATATGCATAAAGTAAAAACTTAAAAAATCTTCTTTTAAAGAACCCAAGGAGCTAGAGCTAAGATATTTGGCATGAAACATCTTCTAGTGAATTTCTACCAAGTTTGTTCAAATAAAAGCCCTGGGGGTCATTGATTTTCCTTATATGCATATAGTAAAAACTTAAAAAATCTTCTTTTAAAGAACCCAAAGAGCTAGAGCTAAGATATTTAGCATGAGACATGTTCTAATGGGTGTCTACCAAGTATGTTCAAATAAAAGCCCTGGGGTCAAAACTGGCCCCGCCCCGGGGGTCATTGATTTTCCTTATATACATAGCAAAAACTTAAAATTCTTCTTTGAAAAAACCCAAATAACTAGAGTTTAGATATTAAGCATGAAACATCTTTAAGTAAATATCTACAAAGTTTGTTCAAATAAAAGCCCAGGGGTCAAAACTGGCCCTGCCCGAGGGGTGTCATTGTTTTTAACTATATGTGTATAGTAAAAACTTAAAAAATCTTCTTTTAAAAAACCCAATGAGCTAGAACTTAGATGATTTGCATGAAACATCTTCTTATGGGTGTCTACCAAGTCTGTTCAAATAAAAGCCCTTGGGTAAAAATTGGGCCGGGGAGGGGGGGGGGGGGCTTTATACAGGTGAGCGACCTCAGGGCCATCATGGCCCTCTTGTTTCTCATTAGCTTGCAATGTTTTTTATATCAACCAATTATTCATAATGAATTATGTATATGAAATATTTATAAAAGACCTATTTTTCTACAATTCAATAGTCTTTCCTTTTTGATTGCCATGAATTGAGAGAAATTTAACTCCTCTTTTTTTCTTGGCAGAATGTCTTGGAACATTTTCTGCAAATGTCACATATCAGCCCACTTTACCTAAAAAAACACACAACTTGTTTTAACGCCAATTTCAACATTATCTCCTAACCTGCTTTCCTGGATAACTAACCAGTAATTACTAATCTTTCCCAGTGAAAATTATTTCTTATCCCATATGATTTCTGAATACACTAGATGTCCCCGATCAATTGTCACGAGAATTGTTTCTTAATTGGCGACAGGTGGATAACAAATCCGATACTTTTCCTATTAAAAGGACTGCACTGGGTTTTTTTTTGGACATGATGGGGCTGGTAATATTTTTCAGATAAATGTTCTTATGAAAGTTTTTTTCCAATTATCTTTTGTGCAAAACTGGAAAGAGTTGCAACACTTCACCCAAATCAGGGAAAGAAAATCACAAAAATATAATTTTCAATCGGGCTAAGAAAAGCACAAAAAAAAAAGAGTTTTGATTTATTTCCCAGTTTATTGCTTTGCTATATCTTGCAGAACTTTCGCTTTTAAAAGCCACAGTTGATCTATGTAAGAAATTTAAATTTCATATTTTTTGGCTATTAGACCTCAGTGGAGTTCCTTTAAAATAAGCCAGAGATCTGAAAATATTTCAATACTAATAGTCCGTCCATAAATAATGACAAAGAGCCAAAACCATATTTTAATATGTTTTATTTGTTCAGAGTTGACAATGAAGTAGACAACATTACTACAGATAGAGGATATGATATAGATGTATCATCACTTTCAGGAATGTAGACATTTTTATGACGTAAACACAATTTATGCAACACTTAAAATAGCGTTAATGCAAACCAAATAATCATTTGAATCTGCATTATCATTAAAGATATTATAACCCTGATGAAATGGTCTCACTAAAAAACAGCTAATAGTTGGACAGCATATATCATTAAACTTGCAGCCTAGTTACAGCAGTGCAAGAGTTTTCATTTAACTCCCTTGCTTAAGTGAACTGTCAAGGTTTTGTATACATATGATATATAGCAATTATTATCATGTAAAAGATTTTTATCAGTTTTCATGAAGATAATATAACTGAGAGATATTTATCTTATCTTAGTCATATAAAATATTGGGAATGACCCTCAAAATGGTGGCCAGGGGAAATAATAATTGGTATGTGAAAAGCATCTATTCCGACTGAATTATTGCATCCACTACCTAAGACACAGAAACTTTAATAAGCAAGTCATTATTGTGTCCACTTCCTATGATCTGGAAACTTTAATCAGTAAGCCTAGCACTGAATAGTCTTCTTAGTAACAGTGTCTAAGCAAGTGTCTTTTCTTTTTAATCAGCGAAACGTATTCTTATTTACCGTATGTCTTTATGATCCATTAACAAAAGCAGTTAACCTACAGACAACAATACATGCTTTAATATAAAACAATTTTTTTCAATATATAAAATAAATATGCTGCATTGGTCAGGAATCATCCATAAATATGTCATCTTCTTTTCTTATAGCCTCCCTACTAGCCTTTATAATTGCACGAACACGATTCAACATATACTGAAAAAAAAAGTATACAAATTTACAAAAATACTTAAGGTGCTTTGAATTTGAAACAGTCTGTGGTCAATATTAATGGACTTGAAAAGTAGTAAAATTCAACAGACAAAAAGGACAGCCAAAGTGCATGGTTGTGCATCTAGCTAGGTGGCACTGGTGAACTAGTCAAGGTTTTATTTCATCACAATGGGAGTGTTAAGTACTTAAACTTCAAACAGTAAAGTTAAGCTAGTATCATGCCAGCGAGTTTTGTTACTCGAGAGCACCGCATGCCCTGTTAGTGCATGCTCGTTGTTAAGGGCAAAGAATATCAATAACTCAATTTTGACAAAAAAATTAAAATGTGACACAACTCCGAATATATAGCTTTCAGAATTATGTCCTTTGTCTAACAAAATAAGCAAGTGTTCTAAGGTTCATGTTGATAAGTTTAAAAATGTTTGAATAATAAGCTATATTGAAATGTTTGCACAACCACTAAGCAGCAATCATAATAGCTCAACTTTTTCTCCGAAACTTATGAAATATAAGATCAAGAATCTTATTCATGTTCAGACTTAACCTGCTCCATTCTGGATAAACAGGCATATGCATTACAGACACAAATATTCGTAAAATTAAAATATTGATTTAAAGCTGAACGCCTCCAGATGAGCCAAAATATCTCAAGAAAATCAATATTGAGAAAAATGTACTAGAATTTTCAGAAAGGTAAAGACAATCAAGATCCAAATTAAATTTTGCATGTAATGTGCAGTTTAAGACTGATTTTGCAGTATTTTATCCCCATATTTCTACTGCCTTACTAACGCAGTAATGGCCGTTTTTTCACATGTGGACCTCTTTTTGGTAATTCTCTTGGATTGTGAATGCCAATTGCAATACAAAAATTACTTTATTTGCTCACCTCACAATATTTTAATTTTAAATACATTTCCAAAATTTTCATGAAAATTTACATGAATCTGGAGGCGTGCTGCTTAAGCTGAGAAAATGCGATATTCCATCAATTGTGATGTTTTTGCTTTTATTTCTTTGAGTGCAATTAAATATTATATTACACTTGAAATGAAACCTTACATAAAAGCAACCAGCATTGCATCTGTAAGGTATAGAATAAAATGAAGATACTCACTGAAGAAACATTTTTCTGATTTTGTGTATTTTCTGTATCTCCACCTCCATTCACGTCCCCAGTTGATGAGCTTGGTTCTACTGGCGGTCCAGTTGTCTCCCCTCCTATCAAACTTGGTTCTCCAGACGCCAAGTCCCCTGGTCCCGGAGTTCCTTCCCTTGACATACTGTCATTTCTCAAGGGGGTTAAATGACTTTTTGCTGGAGATTGGACAAATCTTGAGCTCGATCTTGACCTTGATCTAGATTTTGACCTTGTAGGGGAGTTAGATTTTGATGCCACTGACCTAGTTTCTGGAGACAATGACCTAGATCTTGACCTTCGAGGTGTAAATGAGCCGCTACTGCTGACAGAGACGGATCTACTATGTTTGCGTTTGCGAGGCGATTGTTCAGACGACCTTGAGGTCACTTCAGGGTCAATATCAGGAGGCCTCTGTGGAGATCTGCATTGAAAAAATATATTCATCATGTATATAAGGTATTTCAGTAATTACTTCAGAGGGTCCGTACTCTCAATGCCTGAAAAGGCCGCTGGACCCTTGTTTAGCCTAAAATCATCAGTAAAAGTTTCCGGGATTACTAATGAATTTCAGGATTTTCAGTCTCCTGAAAGCCTTCTATTTCCTATGTAAAACTATAGAAGAAACTGCTTAATTCAGAATTTTCAGGATTTTTAAAATTTCCAACTTTTACCCATGCCTAAAATACATACAATCACTTCAGAGTTTTCTCCTGAAATATACACCTATAGCATCAGAATTACATAACACGTCACCAATATGTAAATAACATTTGAATAACTCTTGCTCATTTAACAAAAATTGTAACGGCTTTAAAAATAATATTCAAAGTGATAAAAATCATATAATACACACCTGGATGGAGATTCCTTGCCTGCTGTATCTGTATCACTAATTTGACCCGGCTCTGGAGTACTGTCCCTTGTCTCGCCTTCCTCTAGTGTATCCATGCATTCTTCCTCTATACCAGCAGGGGAGCTAACTCTTGGATCTGTAACTTCAGGTTCAGTAACTTCGTCTTCAATAATAATTGGCATATCTGCAGGCCCAATTTCTTTATTCTCTCTAGACCTGAATGAATTTTTAAAAGTGTATAAAGCTATATATCTATATCTGCTGCAAACATTATTGTTTGAATTTTAAAAAAACGAATGTTTCCAAAATGCTTGTTATGAAATATAAATGGAAGTATTTTGCCTAAAAAGTGAACAGCGCATGCATGGACTCATTGCTAAACAATGAAAACCCTACTTAAAATAGCAGAATGACATTTAATTCAAATTACATCCAATATCCATGTGTGTTAAATAACTGAGATATTCTATGTTACAACTCTCAAAAATTGACTATAAGATTATGAAAACAATACAATTTTACTGTAAACTGATTAATGAAATTATGAAAGTCATTCCAATGTTTACCATAATTACATTCTTTTTTTCATTCAAGTTCTCTAGTTAACACTCATTTAACAAATAAGACATAATGTAGTTAATTCAAAGTAAAAGACTTGATTTACATGATTTATATCTATAAATCTGTTAATATTACCAAGTCCAAATATCAAACCATTCACTAATATGTGTATTTAGATGTATATAGTGTGTCACCTAACTACAATAGTACTAAGATTTTGGTAGTTTAAATCAAAGTTCTCGCCTTCCATGCTATTTTAAAGTGTCATCATGGGTCAGATTACCAGACCCATTCCCAATGTTTTTTTTTCACCAATCTTTTAAAAAATTTAGAATTGAAATTCCTGATATCAAAATTTGCTGGAGTTCATTCCAGTATGATATCAGACAGATCTTTCCACACCTTTTATTGTCAAATTTAAAATGTTTCTCTCTATTTTGTTTGTTTGTTTGGATTTTTACGACACATCAACACATAACTGGCCAGTTTCTCACTATGCTTTGAATGATATTTGTATTGGTTCGAATCAATTTTGCACAATTCAAAATAATACGCCAGTACCAAATATTTTTCCAATTAAGCAATTTTCGACATAAAAGAAATCAAAGTAGTTATCCACTTTAATAAAGATAAAACATAACAATTTACTAACCTAGATCTAGATCTTTTCTTCTTTTTCTTAGAACTTTTTTTATGACTAGAATGTTCTTTCTTTGACTTTGGTGACCTTGACCTTTTCTTTTTTTTCGATTTTGACTTGGATGGTGACCTTGAGCGTGACCTTTGTCTTGTGCTTCTGTCCTTTGACCTTGACCTTCGTCTTGAACTTCCCCCTTTTGAAGGTGATCTGGAGTATCTACTTCTACCGAGGTCCATATATCTAGGAGGGGGAGGTGGTGGAGGAAATCTTAGTGGAGACCTGGAAAAAAAGAAGATAAAATATTAAATTCTAAAACTTAAAATCTAAGCTATATGGTTGATTTTAGCCTGAAAAAGTATCACTACTCCACAATCAGAACTTATTTTTAATGGCTGTATTTTTCTACTAAAGTTAAAATTAAAGGACAAGAAAACTTCAACAAACCACATTCATTTAGAATTTTAAGTTAAGTAAGCCGCACTCATCGAAAATAAACACCTATGTACATTTGTATATGACTTTTTCATTTTTTTATGTTAGAAAAATTGAATGTGTCTTTTTATTCTAAACATTACTTCATTCAATAGCACAACAAAAGGGAAAAGTTTGAAAAATGTAAACTATTCATGATAAATCTTGTAAGGTGACCTACATTGTACAATCATGACCCAGAAGAAACTTGTAAAATTTCAGTAAAAAACATTTAGTAGTAACTAAGATTATGAAGTTACATGCAAAACCTTATGTATAGAGTCACTATTTTTTTTTTACTTTTACCTTGCTAAATATTGTAAATGGACCTGTCCATCTTTCAATCTGAACAAAACCATTTGACATTTTAGGGAAAAATTTCAAAGTACTATAAGAATAGCCAACTGTGCAGACTATGATCAGACGTCAGTATGATAGGGAAGCATGGAAGAATTGCATGGACTGCATCTGTTATGGAAAAAAGACTAACAGATTAAAGCTGCATCTCAATCACCTACCTTCTCGAGACATTGTAAGCGCTTGGGGGAGTAGGTGATCTATTTCTTTTCTTCTTCTTTGACCTTGACCTAGATCTTGATCTCCGTGATCTTGAACTTCTGTCTCTTGACCTTGACCGTTTGTCTCTTGACCTGTGTTTAGACTTGTGGTGTGAAGATTTCTCCTCCTCCATCTTAACAGGTGAGCTTCTTTCACTGATAGCTGGTGTTGCTTGATTGGGTACTAAAAATGAATTAGACATAAATGTAAGTTTGTTTTTAAAATGTTTGTCTCCCCTAGGTTCCCCAAATCGCAATGGTATGACATACCTGATAATCTGAAGTGGTTATGCTGCGATTATAAGGCCATGAAAATAGCACCATGGTAACTGTAATATTAGTCAGTAGAACCACGAACATTCTGTAAGCTATCTAGATAGCTTGCTCACATAAAAGAATTCAAAGTTCCTGTTGGGATTCAAACTCACAGTGACAATGGGCAAGTGGTTCAAAGTCAATAAACAATTTCTTTTAAAAGCATTTATATCTTTCTGTTATTTTTAAGAAAAAAAGACCTCCACATACCTGTTGTTTTATCTTCCTCAGTGGCTGTATCAGTTTGAGACTTTAGCAGATTAATAAACATAGCTGCCTTCTTCTTACGTTCGGCTTTAATCTGTTTCTCTTTGTCGACTTGTGACAGTTTCTCCCGGGCTGATGCTGCTAACCTATCTTTTAAACGCTGCTCAGCTAAAAATATACAATTTTTCAATTTTTATCGACACTGTCAAACTTCTAATGTGTTAATCAGTTATCAATAAAATAAACTTAACTTGACCTTTAGCATTTCATAAAATTTTTCAATGCTGCTCAGCTACAAAAAAAAAGTCCTCAATTTTCAACATTACCAATATCACTATAACATTGATTTATATAACCAATAAAAAAGGTACTTCATGACAGTTTTTCCATTGAGCTAAATGTTTTATTTCTATAATATGATAATGATACAAGAAAACCATGAATACACGCCATTTTATTATAAATTTCTATCAGGACAGTAGAAGCCTTCTAAATATTTATTTTTTATAATATATATCTTACAACTCATGACTGAGTGTCTAATGCATCTGACTAGTAATCTAAGGATCCCTAGCTGCCTCGTTTCAAGCTCTGTCATGGACAAGTAATTGTTTCCTTGAACAAGAAACTTAACACTTATTGCTCTGTACAGGTTTCCAGGGATGGATTCGATAGTGTGTCTGTAAGTTTAAAGCTTCCTTTACAATCAGACTAAAATAAATTCTTTATAAACTGCAACTCAAGTGTCAAAGGCCCAGGGATTATTTATGAGGGTGAAAACAGTTTGAATCAGAATAATAATTAAACACTTATAATATATATGTATATGTATATAATGTATATTGAGTATAATACTGTATGCTTCAACATGATGAAAAAATATTACATACCAAGTTTCCTTTCAAGTTGTTCAGCACTTCTAGAATCTGTGGAGATGTCACGCACTGGGGTACTTGTGCCAGAGGCATTGTTTGACTTGGATCGCTTTGCTTCTCGAGTACTGTCCGAATCACCTGTTAAAAGGACAAAAGAGTTTTAATTTATTTTTGTTTCAAAATAACAATATGGTCATTGAAATTTAGTTACAGTCTCGTTAGATATATATGTAACAAGTATTGTGTTACTACTTATATCCATGTGAAAATATTTAAACCAATATTTGTAATGGTCTTATGAATTTAGAGACAGGTTGTACATTGTGTTTTGAATAAAGAAACTGAACATTTAAAAGTGTACTGAACAAAAATTATACTTGATTTTTTTTTTGCAAAATGCATCATCCAATCTGATGGGGGATTAGACATAATCCGAGCAATTTTTTTCTTTTTCTTGTTTATTTTGGTTGGGTTTAAAGCCACTAAATTACGGTAAACTCCAATTTTGTTGGCTGAGGAAGTCCTCATGTTCAGCTATTCATTACATTTTAGCAACAGCAGGTACTAAAGTATAACCACTGACCTTATTGAACTTCACAGGATGACACAACCACATGGTATAACTAATCATCTCTAAAAAGATTTGAAATCAGTCACCTTTACTACTGCCAAAGAAGCACAACTTTCATGAATATTAAAGTTTAATATATTTTTATATGAAAATTTCTTTAAATTACGTACCATTTTCATCATCTGACTCATCATATTCAAACACTGGTTTCTTCTCTATAGTTGTAGAGTCTTGTTCTTTAATAGCTTTCTTTAGCTTAAATTTGACTCCTTTGGCTAAAACTTCTGCCTTTTCTTGTTCTCTTTTACTCTCTTCCACCTCCTTTATCTTTCTTTCTCTCTCTATCTCCTGAAAATAGGGATTCATTTAAATAGATAGTTCAGGGTGTCCATTTGACCCTTGAAATGACTTTGACTCTTCAAATTTCTAAAAGGCCTGATTTGACCCTCAGAATATTAACTGGAGGGTCAAATTTTGTTAAAATCATGAGGATTTTGCATTGTAATTGGAAAGACTGCCCATACTGGTCAAAATGACCCTCAGAATTCCATGGCTAGTGGAACCCCTGATAGTTCCCGATTTTAATATTTTACAATATTTATCTCTCTTTTCAATAGTGGCAGCCATTTTGGGGGTCAATATCCTATATAATATAATTGACAAAATTTAAATGTGAACAGTTTGTTTTGGTGAATTGTCAAATTCTTTTATACAGATGAAGATTAATATTATTATAGCACCAATATGTAAAAGAATTTTATCAGTTTTCATGAAGATGATCAAATTATGAGTGAATTTTATCTGATCTTAAGCATATGATATATTTGGAATGATCTTCAAAATATCACAATGGGGAACCAATAATTGGTTAACCCTTAAAGTGGTGACCAGAGGAGGTAATTATTGTTGTGTAAAAAGCATTCATACCCATTTCACATAGTATGATCACTTTATTTATTATTGATTTGATCTTTATATGGTGCTATTATGTTTTGAGAACACTTTTTCATTTAAATATCTAATAACCAAATAAAATGTCACTGACTTGATCATCATGTCAGAAAATTGCACAGTGTCATCCCGGGATTATATCTTTATACCAAGTAAAGAAACCATTTAACTTACTTCTTGGAACAGATGTCTTTTAAAATCATAGTAAGGATAATGTGTGTGCCATGACTCCAAAAACTGGAATCTTTGATCTTTCTTTGACTTAACAACAATGGAAAACTCCTCCCCATTCTTCGCAACATACATTGCCATCCTATCGATGATTGGCTGGACATCTGGAGGGGGCGGGACTATCTGTGGGGGAGGGGAAGTTGATCTGTGAGAGGAGCTGAAATTTCAAAACCATATGTTATGAGAACTGTTTTGTATCCTCAATCTTCATAGTTAAGTCTTCAGTCATTAATCTAAATACAAATAAATTTAAATTTTTGATTATTTTATAAAATAATACTGCACAAATTCAAATCAATCTGTAAGCATATAGGCCAGACTGAGAATGATAAATTTCATAGCATGATTAAGTTAAGTTAACATTATTTTTCTCGGACCTTACAGTTTTATTTTTTTTCTTAGCATCTCTGTATATGATTTTGTTTGTATATTACAATTTTTGTTTGATCATCAACAATATAATTAGTTATAGCAGCTACACAACCAAGGAACACTGGTTTATAAATAGAAGGGCAACCAAGCACAAACAATCTTGGGGACAACTTATTGATATTTTAACTAAATTAGCATATAAGCATTTGAAAAGAGTATGTTTTTTATCAATACCACAACCCTCCTTACACTAGGCAGACAATAATTGACCACATACCCATCTCCCGGCTCCTCTTTAATCTGTTTTGAACTGGTCTGGTCTCCATTGGCTTTGGGTAACTGGACAGGTTCAATACCTGGAGGAGGAGGCATTGAGGACCCATAAACAGGCTGTGCCACACATGCTGGTAGTGAGGATTCCTCGGGCTCAGACTTGATCGTTTTCTTCATCCTGCCTTCCCTTTCTCTGCACATACATAGATAATAGATAATATATTAAAGCCACAGCCAAGGAAAAACACAAGAAATGTATAAAAATAAGTACACAGTAACTCAGCTTAAACAACTAACCTTTTCTGTACTATTTTATAAAACACATAATACATATAAACACATATATAACACATGCAACAAATTAACTGTCAAAACTACTTGTTTTCATGTTTCTTCCAATTTCCAACATTGCTCATGCAAATAGAATATTTACAATGTATATGAATTAAAAACAAAACCACAACAACTCACACATTTTGCAAAAACACACTTCAATTAACTATCCTCTTTTCAAAACAACAAAAATTCAAAATTGATTTCTTACCATTAATATAGCATATTCAAAGCAAAACATAGTCTGGTATTTTATTTCCAAATAATATACCTATCAATTTCCTAGTAAATCATTAATCAATCTTTAAAAAGTATGAAAATAAATTTTCCTGAAGTTAAACAAGATAGGAAAGATTAAGATGTACATTCAAACATAACTATAACAAAGTTATTATTACTAGAATGTTACAATGGCTGGATAACAGATGATATGTTTCTACCAATCAATAAACTCAACAGCTGGTTAATACCAGCATATGGACAGACAAACTTTGAATAATAAACAGCCTTCAATCAGACACGAACAGATATCAGACAGATTAACAAACTTTTCACCAGCTAGTTGCTATAGCTGTTGTATATCTGTCTTTGACATCCCTGTAAGGATATGAATCTACAGCAGGGTGTCATTCTGGCCAGGAATGCTACTGAAAGGATTTTCTCTTTAATACTTGGCTTACTTAAATCATTATGAGAGAATTTAAGATTTATTTTTAAGAGTTAAATTTCCAGGACAAGCAATACCAAAGCATGGCATGCCAAATGCCTTAATACTGTTTTTAGCCAATCACCTCCTAAAATGCATTTTATAACTCCAAGAATATTCAAACAAGTGACCATCTTACAATTTTTATGGTATGTCACACAGCTGTTTCATTTATGTTTAGAGGACTTATTATATCAGTAAATGCATTTATTTTTTTTAAATAATTAACAGCAAGTAAAATTAATTAGATTTTAATAAAGGACCTGTGAAAAAATATGTACACATGTCTCTAAGAAAATGTCTTTCAAACAATCAAATAATTCAAATCGGCATTAGCAAAATAAAATAAACACCTAAAAAAACACTGATTGAATATGCTGTGTCACATGTATTAAACACTAATTAAACATCACTCAACAGACTACCTCCATTGCAATCAACTAGATTTTTTCCATATTTATTTATGAGGCATAAAAATAAACAAGCATGGACCTCACTGTTCAAACACTCACAGCTGATATTTCCAGAATGCAAATGATAAGGGGATATGGAAACAGATCATCAATATTACTTAGTAGATGAAATGGAACATTTTCTAGTATTTTACCATTTCAAATGTGATTTTATTGATTATTGCGCAACAAACTGCGAAAAATCAACAATTAGAATATTCCCTATCACTGAGATGGAAAGACCAGTGTTTGAAAGTCAGTGACCTTAGGTACTTACAGTGACATAATGCCAATCCTAATGTTGAACAGGTAAAAATAAAAATAACTTGACATTGATAATTATGTTTATTTTATATTTGACTTTGAAGATATAATCTAAAGTACGCTTTTCCCAATGAAAATTTCTATACATATCTTTCAGAATGTATCGGTAGGACCGCTTGCTAAAACATCTCATTGCTCGATAGTAAAACAAGAGCCTGGAAAATGTATAATTTTTGTTAAGTAAATTTCAAAAAGGGCCTAATTTTGTCAAATCCAACGCAAGAGTTATGGACCCTGGATAGTGACCTCCTATTATGTTTTCCAAAAAGGGCATGAAGTTTCAACCAATTCCCTACAGTAGTTTCAGAGATACCAATCTACACCCAAAACTTCACTAAAGTTTGACATTGATGCCTTGATGAGTACAATAGTTCTCCCTACTATTCAAATAGTCAAGCTAAAAATAAATTTGCATGAAAATTTACCTTTTCTTATCTTCTACTTCCTTGTTGACCTTTGACATTGACTGAAGTAGCTGACCATATGATGTCTCATGTATGGAAACTTTTGGCATTGGTACAGGCTTATATACCTGTAATATAAATTTCATTTGTTAAAATTATTATTTACAATGTTCAATGTTATGATATTCAATGAACTATTAAACAAAAGAAAAAGAAAAAAATTAAATTAAAAAACGAAATTGTCCTTGTAAAATACAAAGTATCATGTGCTGCAGGGCCTCAAAATCTGATTTTGACTTACTTGTCCATTTTATTTGATTTATTTGTTAGTCACATTTTATTTCTGAATGAAATGCTGACAAATTTTTACTTGTCCACCCTGGCTGTGGGACTACCTGGGCAAATTAGACAATCGATTTTGCTGTGCCTGTGCTGGGACATTAAGACTTGGTTTTGGCAATTTGACTGCAAATGAATAGATTAATCTACTGATTGCAATTTGACTGCAAATAAATAGATTAATCTACTGATTCAGGAGAGAATTTTAATCACATTTTAAATACATGTAGATAAACAATCCATATTAATAGATAAACAGTTTATTTCAATAGATAAACAATCTTTTTTCATAGATAAACAATTTTTTTTGATAGATAAACAATATATTTCAATAGATAAACAATCTATTTTAAAGGGACTCCACTGAGGGTTTTGACATGACGGGACTGAAAGTTATTTTTTGAGATTATTACTCCATTTGATGTAGATCTATACCAATACCTTATGTGCAAAATTTCAGATCATTAGCTTGCTCCGTTGTTCCAGAATAATTATTATAATAGTGAAAAATGACCCAAAATTGAAAAGCGTTTAAACGCTTTTCACTCAAATCGGACTATAGCACAAATGTACAGTTTTCAATATATTTCTTAATTATATCTTATTTATATTTCTGTTTTGAGTGCTCATGTTTATCTATGTGAAAAATTAAAATTTTATGTTTTTTAGGCTTATAAACCTCAGTGCAGTTCCTTTAATAGATAAACAATCTTTTTAACAGATTAATGATCTACATGTATATTTATAGATAAACAATTTTTTGATAGATAAACGATCTATATAAGTAGATCAACAATATTTTTAATAGATTTACAATATATTTCAATTGATAAACAATCTGTTTACCTCCTGGGGTACAGGTGAAGCTCTATTTGTTGTCATTAATGTTGGATGTAGGTAACCATGACCTCCGTCATCACCTTCTCCACCTGATTAAACAATAAAAAATAATTCAAAATTATTCAAATTTATTTTTCTCGTTAAGTTAGTCTCATTGGCACGTTGGAAACTTGGCCAATTTACAGCCCACTCTTAAAAACAAATTATAAATATGCTAAACCTTTGTTTAATATTTCTATTTGACCATGAAAGCAGTAACTGAAGTCTTAAATATTTTGATAAGGAGTAAAATAAATTACCCAAAATAGAAGTCAATTACAGGTGTTGCTTTTTTTTAAACATTTATTAATTAACAACAATGAAAACAGCCAAATTCAAAGCAGATTATGTCCATCATACAAACTGAACTGGGTAAGAGTTAAATCACAGTGACTTCAAGTACAAAACCAGTATGAAATCATTGAGTCAAAGAAGACACATTCAGCATCTCTTTTTTTTTTTTGTTTGGTTTTACGGCACACCAACACAGTAAAGGTCACACATTCAGCATAAATCATTGACTAAATCAAAAGAATGCAACCAGCATCAAATCATTGACCAAATCAAAGGGACACTACCAGTATAAAATCATTGACTAAATCAAGCATCATATCATTGACTCATTCAAAGGGACACAGCTGCTATAAAATGTTAACTTAAATCAAAATATAAAATTTTGACTAAATCAAAGGGACACAACCAACACAAAATCATTAACTAAATTCAAGGAACACAACCTGTATAAAATCATTGACTAAATCAAAGGGACACAAGTGGTATAAAATCATTGACAAAATCAAAGGGAGACAACCTATACTTACTGTCATTGTGATAATCAGGCTCCTCCTTTACAGGTGACTTTGGGATATATTTCTTAGTCTTTATCATTTTAATGAGATGTTTATAGTAGGGATGAAGGACGTTTTCAAAGTGCATAAACATGAACTGTGGGTTTTTGGCTTGCTTTGTCTTCATAACAATCTCCATCTGTGTTCCGTGTTCGGCAATAAACTTGGCCGTCTTCTCTATGATGGCATTCTCTTTGATAGTTGCCGGCTAAAATAAACATTAATTCAGAATGTGTTCTATAAAATAAGGAGGGAGCCTTGGACTGATGGTTTAAAAGTGGGAAAAAAATATGGTAACTAAGGTAGCAGACTTGAAAATGATTCATAAAATTAGTTATATGAAAATAATCAAACACAATGATTAAACTGTAACTTATCAAAATCCAACCCATACATGTTTTGTTTTTGACTGATTTTGCAGAATCTATCACCATGTTTCTACTGCAAGACTAATGCAGTAAGGGGAATTTTGGCATATTTTGACCGTTTTTTTGATTAATTAAATGGATTTTAAGTGCTGTTTGCAATGTGTAAATCACTTTAATTTTCCTACTTCACTTTACAATAATTTACTTTTAAGTACAATTTCAAAGTTTTCATAAATTTTTTTCATGAAAATTTGCATGCATGATGCTTTAAACAAAAATGTCTGTCACTTACTATAGCAACCCCTACAGGTACTTGTAATTCTTTAGGTGGAACAAAAACAGCCTCTTCTGGATTTGGTTTGGCTTCTTCTGAAACTGATTTTTTTTTAAATTTATACAGCTACTCAATCACATTGAAAGATCAATTATACCAAAGTTGACTTTTTACATGTTCAGACCAAGTTAGAATGTATTTCTGTTGCATCAGATAAAGTGATAAGCATTCTTTTCCAAAACAGTAAAAACTCAATATGGGATGTAATGTTATGATACTTTAGTATGAAATACTTGTGTTACTGATCTTATGTCATTTTCTATGTATGTATTCAATAATTCATGGATGACAACTGAACACGGTGTTTTGGTCCTGACCATGACACATTGTATTAATTTAAGTAGTTCACTGTCTGTCCTACAAAACTTGTACCTTCTGGTTAGCTCGTTAGGTAGAGCGTTGGACTGTGAATCAGGCGACTCGCGTTCGCTTTCCAGACAGCGAAGGTCAGTGGTCAGTTTCATTGTGATTGAATATGAAATCCTTTCATGGTCATTCACACTGAACCCCTGCTTTGGCATGTACACAAGTTATCAGTCCCTTGTGAAAGTGAAGGCAATTAGTACTTGTAAACTGCTTGACAGCCTACTCAGGAACAATGCAGTGGCTGAACTATGCTCTGGTTAATTCAATTTGGCATACTGTCGTGATCCAGAGGATAAACTACCTACAAAACTTTATGTTACAATGAAAAGTACTGTATTTTACCTGGTTGAGCCTGTGGCTGGCCAAACGCATCATAACTGAAGCCTACAGCTTGATATCCTTCTGACAAAGACTCGTAATACCTCTTCCACTCCTCCTCTGAAAACAGAAATAGAAAAATTCATGCAAGTTATATCAATATTTATGTTTGAAATTATGATTTCCCTGTGATAAAGACTTAAAACCTATAAAGATATTACCAATAATTTACAAATGTTGGCATGTAGTCAGTTTTTTTATTGTTCATTTACAAATAGGTGTAACCTTGTTAATTCTAATCTTTATTCTTTTCCAATTGCAATATATGTACAGGAACAATAACATGACAATCATAATTTATTACAGATTAATCCAGAAGTAACTTAGATAATATCTTTTTACCTTCATACATATTTTTCTCAGCAATATCAGTGTGGAGTTCAAGATAACGTTCCTCGTCACAAAGTTGCTCAACATGTTTCTCATCTTCAGTCAGAACAGGTGCAGGTAACCCCTTCAAGTTGTCTGCATCATAAGGTCGCAGGTCATATAAGTGACCTCGCCCATCATACCTGCAGACAAGAACCTAGCAGTTAGTAACTATGAAAAATTATCATTCTTAATTAAGTAAAACATTGACAATCTGTGTGGATTTTCCCTGCAATTAAAATATTCATCATTTTATGAAGATATTAAAACTGCTCTTAATTTACAAATGACATTACATTTACACATCATAACTATAAATGTGAGCAGGGAACATGAAATAATATTCTGTATTCAACAATCTTTCCAAAGATAGTCTCCCCAAATAACCTCTTTCACTTTGCTCTAGTGTTGATTGTACCTGTAAAAACCTGGAAAGATAAAGGCTAAACATATGTGGCATTAAGATTTACAAGGCAAAAGAAAAATGCAGGAATTCATTTACACTTACAGGCTGATAAACCTTTCCATTTTAAACTTAGTGCATTAAATTTTATGAATAACTTAAAAAAACATTTGTAAAATTTAAACCGTAAGTTCCAATAAAACACTGTACCTGAAAAAAATTTCTACAAAAACTTGATTTACAAATGGGCCTTTTTTAATTTTTTGGGGGTGTTGCAAATGGGGAAAATCCATGTAGTACACCAAAGGGGAAGTAATCGTTCTGTCCTTGAAACTGTCCTTACTTTCTCAAGCTCATCATACATGTCGCTGTTATCTTCAGATACCTGTATGAACTAAAATCTGCATTAGAGCAATCGACAATCGCGAGATATTAAACCTTTTGCGTAAACAATCGAGAGTAATCCAATCCATGTTGAAGAGAACACCGACCTGTCTATCTTCAGCTTTTCATCCCCCATCCATGGGATCATGTAGGTTCCAGAGTCCACCATATTAGCTTGCTCATCGTCTCTGAAAAGTTTGCAGTGATAGCCAAACACAAAAAGTTCCTCGTTTCTACTCTTCTCGCTAGAATCTTCATTTTGTCCGTCCGTCGGAAAGAGCAGCTCGCTCGCCATTTTTGTTGTACGGTGCCGTTTTACTTACGTTTCATGACAATGACTTAAAATCACGGCGGGCAATTGCTCGGTAATCGAGCTGCTTACGATAACTTTGGCTTTCATGACGTAAACTTAAATTTTATGTTGATATCTCGAGCTTTATTTATTTATTATACTGCTAACATTGATTGCATTGCTAAATTACAGTACATCCTAACACTCAAACGGGTTTTTTATTTGTATCCGTACACAATGCAAGCTACTAACGTTTTCAGTAGCGTAAAATGTCATAAATGCACGTTCATCACGTGCACAGATTATAATACAGTACCAGTAGATTATTGCTTATTCTGCCTACTTTTACAAAATTGGCATTATTTCATCATAAGTATGTGTTATTACACTTAAAGAATTTGGTAAAGACGCTCGCACATTATTCTGCATACATACGTTTGAATTTGATCAAAATGTCAGCTTATCAGCTTAAACTTTTAAAAGGTTAAACGTGATTTTTACTATCTGCAGAATATATAGAATTTTACAATTATTTCATCGTTCTTTCCGGTTTTGTTAAAACTCTAAAAATAAACATGTTAGCTTGTACCTTTATATGTATATATACCGTATATAGCTTGTTAATAGTGTCAAGGTTAATACAATGTCTACACAAGATTAATCTGCAGAGAGATTCGGGGTCACCTACATATCATGAATGTTAAAGGTAAACAATTTAAAAAAACGGATTTGTTTTAAATGTATACGTTTTTTAGTTATGTTTAAAAAGAAATATAATCATTTGCTGATAAATATTACACAATTATTGGCTATTGATCTGTCATTGAATATGGTGTGATATTCATCGGTTTATTAATGTCAATATGACATTTTACTGGTGAATATCAGACCATATTCAATGGATCATTAGTAAATAATTGTTTTATTATATGATAAAACTTTGTTTAAAAAATCGCAAAAGCAAAGCCTATAGAATAAAAGGATAACAAAACAGAGGCTTTGGATTGTTTTCACTGAAGCACGAAAAAAAAAGACGCACATAAAAAGTTGACATCAGACAATCAATGGCTACATGAACGCTGCACAAACAAAAGTAAAAAAAATGTAGTCAATTTATATTACCATTGTGGTTTAACTCTTAACTTTTATTGTGAAATAGTTACATTTGAATCGAGAAAATTAATATGCAATAAAAGTTCAATAACTATTTTTATGCATATGTGTTTAATAGTCTATTCTAAATGGTCACTGAATATTAGTCTGATTCTATTTCTAAATAGGGAAATTCCTATTCAGCCAGTGAAGATCATTTTACACCAAGTGAATATGATTTTATTATTTGTTCTGTTGACTACAGTAACTGTTTGGACCAATGATATTGAGGCTATGTTTAGATCATATAATAATAAATATTAAAAGCTGCATACACCAGGAAGCCAAATTATTTCAGGAAAACCAAACTTGAGAAAAATGTACTAAGATTTTAAGAAAAGAAAAAAAATTATGTTTAAAGTAATAATTTATATGCAATATGCAATTCATGACTGATTTTCAGAATAGTATATTTATTATCATACACGTGCTATTTCTACTGCGTGACAAACAGTAAGAACATCATAAAAGAAGAAAAAAACACAACAGAACAACGACAAAAAAAAAACACACACACAATAACCCTTGAATCTAGATCAGTAGATGCATGCTGCATTTAATGCATAGGGTAATATTTAGAACATTTAACCACAAAGCTATATCTAAATAATAATATAAGTCTCTGGCTTTACATATTGACAGTTTGATATTGAAGCAAGAATTTCACAGATCATTAAAGAATGTCTTGACAAATTTTAAGACTATGTTAAAACAAGCTTTCTACTTTCTGATTAAAGTGACATTATGCTCATGTTTTCATAATTAGGCTGAGTTGAAACGACTACATATTATTTCAAAAGATTGACTGTTCTAATGATGATTGAACAACAATTGATATTTGAAAAAGTTTAGGAAAATTATAAATCTGCCTAAAAAATACAAAAAGACTGCCCCACTTTTTATAAAATGGACATTACAGGTAAATACCGGTGGATATTTACATATATTTCTTTTGGCTACACGAGTTTTGTTAACGTTCATGCGAAGTATACTTTGAAAGGAATTATGGCAAATACTGCATTATTTAACTTTCACCTGTTCATGCACTATATAATTATTTACCTTGGATGGGGATAATTTCGCAGTTTTTTTTTATCTATAGCCCCATAACACCTTAATATTTGGTTAAAACTTTGTTTAATTCTGTGTCTATATCCCCGAGAGTGTTCTTAGACGTTACACTGATAAATCTTGAACGGAGCTTTTTCAAAATTTGCTCAGCCTCTATCAATGTCATGTAAACTAAAAATGCTACTAATGGAAAGATGTTTTCAATGACAATAAAGTATTCACTACCATATACATTTTCACGTATAACGTTACGGTTGCGTAATAATTTTAAATTTGCCATTTTTACAGGTAGCCAACTAATAAAAAACCAACAGCAGAAGTCTCTAAATTATAGAAAATTTCGTGTACATAAACAGGCCACGTAATGACTTATAAAATAATACTTTTTATATTTGACCCTAACATAAAAAGTGAACGACTCGATAATTAAATATGTTGTTGTTTCTTTTAGAAATGTGATTCACATATAAAGTTTCTGTTCAAATCGTATTATAAATGTTAATGAAAGTGAACTGGTATACAAGGGGCACATTTTCAATAAATATTTCAAATACTGATACAAACAAAATCTTCATCTGAAATGTATCATTTTGAGATTCTTACAGTGTAAAGTATTTTTTTCTTTTTTATTTCTTTTTACAAAATTATAGCTAAATCAAATCTTTGAACTAAATTTATGAATGAGAAAGATGCATCACTCGCGTTAAAATGTTAAACGTTCCTAAAGAATTAACAAAGGCTGAGCAAGGACGGGTACTGTAACGGTCCTCTTTTTGAATTTCTGTTTTCAGTGAAAGGGAAGTACATTTATCCATACCCTTCCAAAAATAATTTATTGCGTAATGTTCTAAAAATAACCATTTCGCTGGTTCCCACTAAAACCTATAAATAACGTCAATGTCATGCAAAAAAAGGCAAAAAGGCAGGAATTCGCAGAGGGAACACGCTGTAAAGCATAAAAGGTAATTTTAGCTAGATGAATATTGTTTTTAGAGTGAATTACATGTATGAATTTCTATTTACATCAAAATTTAAATATTTATCGATAAAAATATTTAATTTTGATATAGTAAAATGTGATTTCTACTTTCAGTTCAATATCATATTTTTTGAAAACTACAAGGTGAAATGTTACTTAGACACTTGAGAAAATAAATAAACAATATATAACATTGCTAGATTGATCAAGAACTATTGGTAGGGTGCATTAAAATAAAATTATAGTAATATCTATAATTACAACAGTTACAAATCTAAATAATTAACACTGAATCTAATAATATTCATTTTCAGGCTTTAACTTTTTGAAAATTTTTACACAATTTTCCAAAATGCACAATTCCTGCCTAAAATACTTGTGAGACTCGACTACATATGTACATGTAGCTGAATCGAAAAAAATTCAGCTTATTTCTTAGACCTTGGGGTTGTAAATGTAAGGCAAGATTGAATGATAGAATATATAAATACGATATATTGAGCAAATTGCATGGATAAAAAGTAACTTAAATTTGTATTCATCGAATCATGTGAAGCTAGCTAGGCCCAACTTGCAATGAAAAAACCCATATTTTTCCCATTTTAAAAAAAAAAACAAAAAAGAAGTCAGTTGATAATTGAGCTAGCTGAGTTTTTAATGATTTTTTTCAAAAGTTATATATGATGATATACATCATAACTTGAATAAAACTTACAAGATTTTTCAGTTTTTTTTTTATTTAAATGTCTCAGACTTTTTAAAATGCCACTTAATTTTTCCAAAATAGCAACAGGGGGAATTTTTCCAAAAAAGCCTGAATCTGTAAGACTGGGTATTTACTGTGAACTCAGCTAAAGGTTTTAGTGGCTGTGTACAAGCAGGTATTTTGGAAACAAATCAAAACACCTACATTATGGTGCTTGGATAGACAAAAAGTATACAATCATCTCTCCATTTCCGTTTTGTTACATAATTTTATATGCTATTATATCTAACATAGCACATCCTTTTTAAAATGCCTTAATTATTTTTCAATTATAAATAAATCTAAATAATTTCAATATTCAAATTTTAACTTTAGAATTTTGATTTAAAAAAGAGCTTTAATAAGTTTTTTTTTTCAAGTTTCAATTAAGTTTATTGAATATTCATTATCCAAGTTTAAATACATGTATAAGTATATCCCAATACAAAAACATGAGACAAATTTATACATTTCAAGGATTTTTTGGGCTTATTTTATAGCCGTTTTTGGGTCATATTCCCAATTGAAAATAGTTACTATATTATTTTCCCAATCTACAGGAATAAATTCCCAATTGAAAGTTACAAAATAAAAATATTGAATAAAAATTCTAAAATCTTTGAAAATAAGGGTTTTTTTCACTGTAATAGTGCTTAAATGTTTGAAGATGCCATCCTAGACAGTGATTGTTTGCATTCATTTAAACATTGCAAAATTTTAATGCATTTTTCCCCCCAATTTTTAACAAAACACCACTGAAATTCCCATTTCCATGGGTATGGGTCATGTTCCCAAAATCCTGAAAAAAATCCCTGCATTTGAACTGTTAAATAAATAATATAACAGTCACATGAACATGTTAGGGCAACACTCGGTATGAATATATTAGATGTAAAGATATATTTGGGCTTATCCATAATGACCTACTATAATTCAAGAAAAACAATTTAATCTGTGTCTTGTCGGGGACACTAAAATTGAAAAATTGGCCTGATTATTATTGTTGTTGTGGTGTAATCTATTTTTAATCATGTTAAGGAAATATTTTAATACTAATCAGCTTTAGATTTATAAACATATCATAATAATATGTACTTACAAGCATGTCAAAGTTGTCTAAGGATATTAAAAAGTATCAACTTTTGATTTTAATAGGTTCCGACTTGGTTAAGGCTGATTATCAATTTCCTAGTCTTTTAATCAAACAAACCATACATTATTTCTTATGAGAAGTAATACTCAATATGGCTTTAAGCATAATTGGTATGAAAACGTATCTTTTTTCTTAAAAAAATTCATTTTAAAATCAGTCATATTACTAATATATACTTTATATGAAATACATTTAACTTTGAACAAGAAGCATCAGTCAGTAAGTCTTATTGTATATTTTAGACTTAAGTAACATCAAGACCAATTATTATCTTAAAACAAACAACATATAACATACATGTAAGCAAAGTTCAGGTGCTAGCTGGGAAACTATTTATGTGAACAATAAATATTATTTTTCTGTATTTGAGGATTTTTAATTCCATCACTGTGAAAATAAATGAAATAGCAGGCATTTTCCTAGTCATTTTGGGGAAAAAGGTAACTTGAGAGAGTAAGTATAATTTTGATTTTGAAGAGACGTTTCTGTTTATTATGAAAATGGATATTCTATGCTTCTAATTTTCTTAAAGGATTTGTTTTTTTTTTAAAGAAGAAAATTTTCATTTTTATCAAAAGTGTATTATTAAAAGTGTACTGTAGAAAAAAATCAGTTAAACACCAGTCCATTTGTCTGTTTTAGCCTTCAAATGTTCTATGTAAATCAATAAATTGTTATTACAACATATTGCGCAATTTCAAAGCAACCAGTCTATATACATTTACTGTTCTTAATACAAAATGTAGTTGATATTGATTAATCTGTTGGGTTGCCAGTTTGTAAATCAATATTCACACAGGAAACTTTATCTTAAATGTTAATCAATGAACTGTTACAGTGAAGTTTACGTGTTAAATAAATCGTTAAGAATTTTTCAATTATAGTATCGAAATAATATCCTGGTCGGTATTAAAACTTTACTTCCCTTTCGTAGAAAATATTTTGTTCCTTTCGTAGAAAATATTTTGTTCAGTGTAAATCAATTCATAATAAGGATTGTTAAAAATTTTTTGTCAGGTAAGTTAGCTTGAATATTATTTAAATTTTTCGTTTTCAAAAGGAAGTATGTTACATTATTTAATATGTTTTCTTTTTAAAAATATATAACTTTTCAATGTACATGTAATAGGCCAGCTTTAAAATTATCTTTGTTTCCCCTAACTGTTTAGGTAGGGTAGGTAGATTTTTTTTTATTCAATTTTTTTTATTGAACATAATTTATATCAGATTCATAATTTTGAAAAAAAAAGAGAATTCTTAGCATCTTTTTAGAATCAAAGTTTCAAAGTTCTAGTATAGTTACAAAGCAAAGACATTTGATATGAAGATGGGCATATCATAATTGTCACACAGACACACAGATTTTGCTAAATGTCATATTGCATATATTGAAATATGCCTCTGACATTTGATTTTTGTTGTTCAGGAACAGATGGATGGGAATGTTTTGAATGCTAAGTATCATTTATCTGTCTGTTTTAAATTGTTTCATTTTCTCCCAATTTATATTCTTTTATCTGTTTTGTGTCATCCACCCAATCAGTAATCTATCTGTTTTTTGTCATTATCCTCCCAATTATGTCATTATCTACAAAATTTTATTTACGCTATCAGATTTATGTCATTATCCTCCCAAAGCTCATTACTCAGTAATATCTGTTTTATCATAAACCATTATCTGCCCAATCTCATAACTCTATCTGTTTTGTGTCATTAACCTCCCAATAACATTACTTCATCTGTTATGTGTGTCATTATCTTCCCAATCACATTACTCTGTTTTTGTGTCATTATCTTCCCAATCACAATACTCTGTTTTGTGTCATTATCTTCCCAATCACATTACTCTGTTTTTGTGTCATTATCTTCCCAATCACAATACTCTGTTTTGTGTCATTATCTTCCCAATCACATTACTCTGTTTTTGTGTCATTATCTTCCCAATCACTTTACTCTGTTTTTGTGTCATTATCTTCCCAATCACAATACTCTGTTTTGTGTCATTATCTTCCCAATCACTTTACTCTGTTTTTGTGTCATTATCTTCCCAATCACAATACTCTGTTTTGTGTCATTATCTTCCAAATCACATTACTCTGTTTTTGTGTCATTATCTTCCCAATCACAATACTCTGTTTTGTGTCATTATCTTCCCAATCACATTACTCTGTTTTTGTGTCATTATCTTCCCAATCACAATACTCTGTTTTTGTGTCATTATCTTCCAAATCACTTTACTCTGTTTTTGTGTCATTATCTTCCCAATCACAATACTCTGTTTTGTGTCATTATCTTCCCAATCACATTACTCTGTTTTTGTGTCATTATCTTCCCAAACACAATACTCTGTTTTGTGTCATTATCTTCCCAATCACATTACTCTGTTTTTGTGGCATTATCTTCCCAATCACAATACTCTGTTTTGTGTCATTATCTTCCCAATCACATTACTCTGTTTTTGTGTCATTATCTTCCCAATCACTTTACTCTGTTTTGTGTCATTATCTTCCCAATCACTGTACTCTGTTTTTGTGTCATTATCTTCCCAATCACATTACTCTGTTTTGATTCATTATCCACCAAATCTCATGACATCTGTTTTGTGTCATTATCCACATGTTTTTGTTTTGTGTCATAATGTCCTCTCAAACTCAATACTCTTATCTATTTTGTGTCATTATCCACCTATCCATTATCCTTTAGTTTATCAAGGCACTTTGCAATAAACAAGACTTGTTAAATAAGAATGAGAAATAAAGTGAAACCATTTTAAATTGTAATGTCAGCCAATATCACAGGTGTCTTATTTGCATACATTTTGTATTTTATTGATTTTACAAAACATTGCCACACTGTGAGATTGCATTAACTTTATAATAACATTTTTATAGCAATATCAATATTTTATAGAAATATTAATATTTTATATAGCACAATATACAAATGTAAATACAATAATGCATATTGCTATAAGAACAATAGACTGCCTTTTAATTGAAATACTTATCAATCTGCCATTTAAATAGATAAAAAATTTTTTTTATCACAAACACAAATTATTATTTGAAAAATGTCAAGGCTTTTGTGTACATGATAAAAATGAAAACATCTTGTAAGGACTTGCATAAAAGGTCAGATTTTTGTTTTTCTGTATTAAGGTAAATACATACTTTAAAGCTTGTCTCTTAAGAAATTTAAGATTGTTTTTCTTGATTTCACATCTGACACCAGTCTTACCTTGAATTTTCAAGGGTGTAAAGTGGGAAGCAAGCTTATATAGTCAAAGGAGTTTAAAAAAATGTTCTTGCTTGCCAAGCAAATAAAAATCACGCTGAGGATCTGTTACTCCTGCTGAGTATGAACAATATCTGATTGAGACACTTCGTTTGTGAACCCATCCTCCACTTAATATCAAATATGAACTTGCCCATCCTTTAAATCTGGGCAAGTCCATTAATGATTTTTAGGGAAAATTGCAAAATATATACTAAATTTACTAAAGCATAGACTATTAAATATGTGTGTAAATCTGCATAATATTCACTGGCTGAATTGGATTTGCCCTATCTAGAAATAGAACCAGATTAATATTCAATGACCATAGGCCTACAGCATAGACTATTAATTATGCGTATGCATAAAATAATTGTAGCATTTTGTTCTTTATGTCATATTTCTCAGTTCAAATCTCATTACTTCACAATAATAGTAAAAGATTGCACCACAAAAGTAAGTACTTGAATTACTTTTATTTGTGTATCCATATGATATTGAGATCTGACATCATCTATTAAAAATAATTTACATAATAACAATTATGGTCTTGGAAGATATTCTAGGCACTTTGTCAACCATTGTTGTATATGCAGATTTTTTCTTGCATATTAGATTTTTGTTTCCTTTAGTTATTCCAGTGTGCCTGTCGGTACGCCGCCCAATGGACACGGTACCCAATCCAAACCGCATCATATGACCGATTTTGTAAATCTCAAACAATGATATCAACATTTTTTATTTTCAGATTTTCCCTCAGATATTTAAAGTAATAAACTGCAAAAATGAAAGTTCAGATTGAGGTACTACTTTCTCAGCTTGGGAATCCAGGGCGTTATCAAGTCTTCATATTCCTACTCCTGTGTCTGAACTACTTTCCTTTAGTTTTCAATCATGTGATCATGGCATTTTTTGGATCCAGACCAAAGCATCAGTGTCATTCAAGTGCTTACTTGGCTGGCTATATGACAAACAGTATATCAAACTTTAATGATGTACAGCTTAATTATACAGTGCTGGGAACCAATGCCTCAGATGTTGGTAAGTTATTACAGTCTTAATGTCAAACTCCTTACAGTGATTACCTCCCTCTACAGATTATAGTCACTGCCTTCACAGACGTCTCACATGATGATGAAAGTCACATGACGTAAAGTCGAAATTCAAATGTAAATATCGACCGTTACATAGAAAATCTAACGTCATTTTTCTCTTTCTGTTTTATTTTTAACTTTTTGTACCTACGTCCGTTATATTTAATCAAAAAATTATCAAAAGTATACAAAATAATGAAAAATGAATTAAAAAGCTATAAAATATAAAATATCCAAATATTGATATTTCAATGTTTGTAATGGCAGAGATCTCTGTACTGATAAGGGGAGATCACTGCATAGGAGATTGTCTTAATGTAGTAATAAAAAAAGCTGGTAGCTTGAATTGCTTGACCCTTATTAGCATTATTTTGTTTTGGCATTTTTAAACAGACAGTGGAATGGTTACGTATTTAAGAATTTTTCCCAATTTAAAAGTCCATCAGATTGTAACTGACTAAAAAAGTTTTATTTTCATGCATAAAATGTTTGGGCTAGCAAATTTTTTGTCTGCAAATTGCTACTTTACACTAAAGATGTAAATAAGTCTTGAAGATGAAGATGTTTCCATAATAAGTAACCCTTATCTTAGTGACTAGTGAGTGTGAAAATGATTAGCCATTTGTAACCATCAATATAGAGCCAGGCCGGCCTGAATATACATGTAGTCTGACCAGGCTTTATACTATTGGCAAACAAACTTAAAATTTTCATTGGGATTTCAACCAATTTAATAATTGACTGTTCCAAAAGGTTGAAAAATCCATATAGGTTTAAAGGCCCATTATGCCTCAGAAACAAATAAATTTTTACTTCTTTAGAAAGGGCAAACATGAATTTCATAATGTTTAAATGATAGTTTTAGAAAATGTTAGATATTTTTGCCTGAAGAAAGTAGTGATAAATATGAATAGTGTGTCATAAAAGAAGCAGATTGTAAATTTCTATACAAAATACTAGTCACTATAACTGCACTTATTGCCAAAAAGCAACAGAACAAAAAAAGATGATTCAAGTAATTGGCATATGAGTATAGCTTATTGGATTCTATAAAAGTACATCAAACTTTAAAAAAGCTGTTGAGAAATAGAAATTATACATTTCTGAGACATAATGGGCCTTTAAAGAAAAATAAAATCATGTTTTTATGGTTGCAGGTCATTTTGAAAGCTGCAGTGCGAGCTATTTGTATGCCGGGAACCAGAGTATGTCAATAGTTTGTCCAGAGAGTGATGAGAGTTTTCTGATATACCAGAAAAGGGAACAAGAGTCTACAATAGTTACTGAGGTAAGTAACACACAATCTGTGAATAGAAAGCAACATAATTGATGGGCGTTTTAAGTTATGATTTTATTCTATTATTATTGCATTTGTTTTGCCTATTATAATGTTTGTGGTTTTGAAAATTTGTTTCTAGGCTAAGCTGACACATGGCAATATTTTGAATTTGGTAATTAAGTTTTTTTAAAAATGCTGTTTCTTTATTTTTTTGGTCACACTAAAACTGTTAAGGTCATATGACCACTTTCCAGTCTTACTGATGGAGGAAGACTTCAAGTGCCCCTCTGTGCATTATTTCAGACACAAGCGAGCACTTGAGTAGAACCATAGATATTCCGACTATTTTTATTGAATAAGTATAAGTGGTTCAATTATGAGGGAATATTATAATGTCATTCTTGTGTGGTAAATGTGTGATAAAGTTTAATATGGTTATATTTTCAGTGGGACTTGGTGTGTGGTAAAGCATATTTATCATCTGTGGCAACAACAATCTATTTCTGCGGAGTCATGGTGGGTGGGGTACTGTTTGGACATCTTGCGGACAAGTTTGGCAGGAAGCCTGTCATGATGATATCCCTGATTATGCCAGTTGTTGTTGGAGTTGCTACGTCCTATGCACCATGGTACTCAGTGTTTGTGACACTGAGATTTGTTCAAGGTGTTTTGATGCAGGTAAATGCTTATTATGAGTTGATGACAAGGATTTTACGTTTATACCTTTTAAACAAGTCAGATTTTAGTGAAGAACCTGTTATTAACCTACATAAGAATAAGACAAAATGCTTAAAAAGTTTTAAATTAAAGTATTCTAAACATTACTTTAGTTTTTCATAGCAAGATATGACATTTTATTCATATTTTAGTTGTACCTTTGCATGCTTTGATTGCTATGTTCCCAATCCATTCAAAGTTTAAAGCAGCTTGCCTCCAGATTCATGCTGAGTTTCGTGAAATTTTTTAAAATGTATTAAAAAGTAAAATATTGTAAAGTGAACAAAGAAAATAATTTTTACAATGCGATAGCCATTAAAACCCATGTAAATAACAAAAATCTTGGTAAAAATATGTTAAAATAGCCCTTACTGCGTTAGTAACGCAGGAGAAATATTGTTAAAAATATTGGAAAATCTGTCATAAATCGCACATAACATGGCAATTATTACTTTTATCTTAAATCATTTTACTTTTCTTAAAATGTCAGTACTTTTTCTCTAGTTTGATTTTCTAGAAATATTTCGGTTAATCTGGAGGCATGCAGCTTTAAAGGATTTCAGTATCAGAATTATAAAATTGATTTATTATCAAAGAGCTTGGTCAGGTTTCAATGAAGTGTATGCTGGTACTACTATTGTATGTCAGTTTATTTATGCAATCACATATGACTTTCTGCAGTTGGCTACACAATTTAAGCCTTTTGACATATAAACCCTGCAAAATAATCAATCACCAGGACAAGTCCATGAAATTTACATAAAGTATGGTAAATTTAATGTACATATTGTTATGGTGTATATTTTATTATTGTTCTTCATATGTAGGGTTTACAAACTTCAACATACACTCTAGCCATGGAATTATTCCTGCCGCAATACAGAAGTTACGCAGGGGCTATCCTCGAGTGTTTCTGGGGACTGTCCGTCATGACTGTTCCGTTTCTAGCGTACCTGATTCCCAACTGGCGCCATCTACAACTTGTAATTTCACTTCCAAGTGTTGTGGCCGTGTTCTATTTTTTGTGAGTATGAATTTGACAAAAGAAAAAGATCTTGTATATTAAAGAAAATCATAAAAACAAATTAAAAGTATAATTTAGATATTTTGAAGAAAACAAAACATAGGGTCTTGCATATTGAGAACAGTATTCTGAAGGTCCCAGGCTTGACCTAGTTTACCTTTGGCTTTGTAGCAAAGTTCAATTCTTCAAGCCTGATTTAAAGACATTTCAAGGAGAAAATATCATAATAGGGTCATGTTTGGGAATTATTGCTAGTGTATTTCTGAGAACTTTGAAATTCTTTTCATTATAGAACCATGTAACTGTTGCACAGTTTAATTTGATTTATTATGAAATTTTGTAAGAATTGTAGAATGTTATTTGAATTTTTTTTGTTCATAATTGCCATTTCATTGTATATTATTGATATAACTTAAATTTATCTAAGGATCAGTAACAATGTTTTCAATCCTCAATATTTACTGAATCCAAAAATATTTTCCAGATTGGAAAGGTATGTAGAGATATTTCAGTTTTACACATTTTTTGACCCTGATGAAGGCTATTGAATAGCTGAAACATAGGTCTAAAATAATTTGACTGAAACATGCCCAACTTTATTTTGTCTGTTTCACATCCTTTATTCTTTACTTTTCTTGCAGTGTAATCCCAGAATCTTTGAGATGGCTGATCCTGAAGAATAAAGTAGAAAAAGTTGAGGCTCAGCTCAGTACGATATCAGCCTGGAACCGGATCGATTTTCCGCACAATGCCTGGGAGGATTTGAAACTTCAGCTGGGTACCATGATAAAAGATGTAAAACAGTATTCAATGCTTGACTTGCTGAAAACACCCAAGTTAAGAAAGAGAAGTCTTGTATTGTTCTATCTATGGTAAGATATTTATTTGTCTTTATTAAAATATTGTAGGGACCTATACAACTCAGTTTGGGTGAAGGGGCCACTGTGGCTATTTGGTTATGGTTGCCTACTTTAAAACATTGGCCCCTCACTGCTGATAGTTCAGATCCCATCTCTAAGTGAGGAAGCTAACCAGCTAGTTAACAGTAGGTTGGTTGTTCTACTAAGGTGCCTGCTTTTAAAGAGGCACCAGAGTTCTTCCTCCACCAGTAAAACTGGGAAGATATTGTATGACCTTTCTAGAGTTGATGTGACTTAAAATCCATCAAAAACAAGCAAACAATCTGGGTGGCAGCAATTGTGTAACACTCGATAAAAGGTTTGTCTATACCACCACTGATAACTTTATACTTGTATTTTAAGAAGTACTTTTTACTTGCTAATTAAGCAAGATCTATAACTCTAGCTGTAAGTTTTGCTAAATTATGCCCCTTTTTGAAATTCCTGTATGACTTTTGTTTTACAATAGAATATTCAGCTGTGCTGTTCATATTTAATTAGGACTGTTATTTGTTTATAATACAATATAATTGTTATGTTGCTTTTCATTGGATAAGCATGACTTGTATATAATCTATATACAACTGTTGCCAATTTATGAATTTATTTCATTTTTTCCTCAAAGAAGTTTGCTGTATTATGAAATTGATATAAAGATGCTTGTTTGTATGTATGTATTCTTGGCCTCATGAGGGTCCATCCGCCCTTTCAGGCACTGAGAGTACGGACCCCAGACATGTCACCATGCCCTTTAATTTTATTATAAACCAAAAGACTAAAATTCCTAAAAAAACATGAAAAATTCAAAGGGAATTTCTAAAAATGACCTATTTTTTCAGGTTTGCTATATCAATTGGTTACTATGGTTTGACATGGCAACTGACAAGTCTCCCTGGAAACAAGTATTTGAATTTCTTCATCGCTGGTTGTGTGGAGTTTGTGGCATATACTCTTGTTATTTACATCACAAAAAGGTAGAATATTTTTTATAATAATTATGCATGTGTTAGACGTTGTTATAACACATAGGTGTACTAAATATTATTAATCTTGTTATTGTATGATGCTGGTCTTTCTTTATGGAAAAACATGTCCAGAAAAAAAGGAAAATAAACTCTTATACATCTAATCTAGAGCATGAAATGCAAAAATTCTGGCTCAAATTAAAATGTTTGGTGAAAAGAGTGAAGATATATTAATGGTGTTATTGCAATAAAGGGAGATAATTTTCCACAATAGCTTGTATACTATCCAAGTTTTCAAAGACCTTGTTTAAGAAATTGATGTTGTTATTTGTTGTGCATCTGTTAATTCAGTTTAAGATGTGTATTAATATTCTAAATTCATGGCAACCGTTACAATGTGAAAAAAATGATAGACTTTTTTGTAGTGATAGGAAAGAATTGATATTTAAAGGAAAGGCAAATTCATATACATGTATCTATATTTTTAGGTTTTTATTATTTTATTTTTAAGCTGAAATCTATCACTTAACTTTAACTTAGTTTCTCTTTGGAAAAGAGAATCATAAACAAGCCTAACAGTACAACTTGTATATAAAAGCCTAACTTGTAAAACTTGTATATAAAAGCCACCCAAGGGAGAGACAAAATATGGCCTTGATAGGCAAGTGGTCTGTATTTGGATGTTATTTATTCCATTTTATCAATGAAGGGTTATCAGAATGTGGCTTTTTTGCAGTGTTATATTTATTCAGAGGTGGCCTTCAACACAGGCTTTACTGTGCTTTAGAATTTGGAATAGAAATATTTTTGTATTGATCAAAATTTTGGTGAAGAAAAAGTTATGGAACTTTGTTAATTTGCAATTATGTTGTTTCAGGTTTGGACGTAAAAGGCCTCTTCTTATATACTTTATGTTGGCCTCCTTATTCATGATCAGTGCAGGAGTTATCCCCTTTGCTTTCGCTGACGTCAATGTGTACATTACCAGTGGTCTTGCTATCGCTGGAAAGTTTGCTATGGGGGGTCTGTTTAGTGTTATATTTCTATACACATCAGAGCTGTACCCTACTATTGTAAGGTAAGTAATAATGAAGCTTTGCATCTTAGAATATCTTGTCACCTTGGTGAAGTAATGGGTTAAATCCTTCTAAATTTAATAGGAGTTAACCAGTTATTGCACATAGATGATGATCTGTCATTTTTTCTAAATTTATTAGTTAAATTGACACTGTTATAGTGATTGGAGTATTTTCAACAAACCTCCAGATGTCACCCAGTAGCCTTTTTCTGAGACACAAACATTTTCACATGATCATGAATAACAATTAGTCAGCTGGGAAGATTTCTCACTAGAAAACATTCTGTGTTTGCTGCAGGATTAAAATCTACAATATTTTGAATTATTTTGTTGTACTGTTAGTACAGGATGTGCACAGGGCCTGAAAGGTCGTTGAATTTTATAGGAAACTGGTTGAATTTTGTTTAGTTATCTATGATTTCCTCTAACAACTTGTATGTTTTTAAACAACATTGACTTGTGGTTTAAACCAGAATGTTTGAAAATTCTTATTGTAGAATTTGGTTTCTGGGTTTAAGCTTGGGTTACACCAATACAATACAATACAAATTTGTACAAATTTGAAAACTATATGTTGAATTCATATCACCTTTTAAAGTCCTCTTACAATATGACTGATACAGAATAGATTATTTCTGCTTCTTGGACCTAGAAGTAAGTGGCGAACTGAAAAATTGTTTTAAAGAAAACACTGTATTACGAATATATGGTTATGTTTTGTTTTTAGAAATATTGGAATGGGTAGCTGTGCTTTCTGGACCAGAGTAGGTGGAGTAATTGCACCTCAAATTATTGTTCTGGTAAGTTTTTTACTGTGAAATATGAGCAATAAAATATCAGCTAAATGCATAGAAAGTTAGTTGGAGTTATAATGTCCATATTGGTTTTTGATTCCAGTTTCTAAGTCAAATTATTATGAAATAATACAAAAAAAACCTATTTCTAGTTTCTTTTACGAGTAAATTTTGTTTGTTGTAGACTTAATTTTTTGATTTGAAGATTGCAATACCTCTTTATTTTCAGTTTAATTGAAGTATTTCCATATTAGGTAAAAAAATTTATGTTTTTTTTTTTGTAGAATCACTTTAGCAACAAATCTATGCCCCTCATTCTTTTTGGATTGGTTACACTGGTTGGTGGATTTCTCAAAATTCTTTTTCCCAGAGACGTTTGGCCCGGAAAGGGTTTCCTGAAAACCCTTAAAAAGATGTAGGGGCAGTCGGGTTTCCCTTTAAAAAACAACATGGGCCAGGGGAAAAGGAAATAAAGTCGTTAAACCCTTCAACTCCAGGCTCTGAGATTAAACATGAAAATGTTTAAAATTTATAAAAAGAGACAGAAGAAAAATAAAAATAAAGCTTAACAGGTTTTATCTTAATTATTTATCAAGTATTTCAAATGAAAAAAATTATGGACAGTAAATATTTTATGGAAAGCTTGTGTCTTTATAGGGTGTCAACAATTATGTAGTGGAAGTCTGTTTTAAGAAATACTATAAATAGTGAAGATAATACTTGTTATTTTATGTTAAAAGGTTTTACAAAGGAAGTGTAAGGTAAAAATCACTGTTATGAATGGTGTGAGGTGTACTAATGAGATGGGTGGGGTAACCTTTTCCAAAGTTACTGTGTATAGAAGGTATATGATAAATGTAACTTGGACTAAATAGGTATATCACAAAAAATCCTTACTTTGATGGCTGCAAACATACAAACAAATCTGTAACTATGTTGATCCCACAAAACACCCTAGGATCAATTAGAAGAAATTCAAAAATGGAACATTTGCTTGAAGTGTTACAAGATGAAATTGAAATGAAGTACATTTACTACAAATTAAGAATTGCACTGATTGTTCTGCTGAATTATCTTTAACTTTTTGAAATTTTGGTATTCTGATTTTGTGAAATTTTCTGGATCCATTCATTTTCCACTACTAATATACCTGACTGTACTAAAGTTATATGGTAGAAAGTTAGTCGAAGTAAGTACATCTTGTATGTGATAAAAAGCATGGAGCATTTATAAGAGTCAATATGGTATTTGAATTATGTATACATTGCTTGCCCGGTATTAATACCGTATTTGTTTCGTAACAACAAAGGGGCTTTGATTTTTACCTTACACTTCATTTGTAAAATGGTAGTATCAGTTGCGCTGTTTTGGGGACATTATTCCTATATCGAGTATTTGATAGCGGAAATATCAGGGATAATGTCTTTATAAAAACAAAAGATAAATTAAAATAAAAAAAATAAAATCTTCTAAAATGAAGATAGAAATAGTTAGATGTTGGTAGAAGTTACATTTGGTAGTTATGTTGGCGACTGCAATATTTGTTTGATAGCATAACTTCAAAATGTTTCATTTAAATCACACAAATGTGTGCTCTATTGGTCAAGTGATTTTTTTTTTTTTAGTTCATTATTTTAGATGATAGTACACATTAAATTTAGAAATGGGGCTCCTCATAAAATCAGTTATAAGTATTTGAAAGTTGTGCTTGCTTGCTCATATCTTCACATTTGAAGGGGGTGGGGGGTGCAGATTTTCATTGCTGAATTTGTGATTATAGACAGTTCAGTCAGCAGGGAAAAGGCCTGTTGTGGTCCGGTCCAATAGTTAATGCAAAATATATCAATCACTGTTAATTTCATATATCCTATTATTTCATATATTTTACAATTAGGCAGAATTTATTATTATATACATGTATTATTAAAAGCAGGCAAGTGTTTGCATTTACCCTCCAAAATTTTATATAATAGACTTGTCTACTATGGAACAGTCTATTTTGATTACCAGGGATTTTAAACATGACAAATTGATGAAAATAAGCAGACGGCAGTATTGGTTTTGGTCAGACAGCACAAATATGCAGAGATTTTGGTCTCTATACCATGTATACTGTTGGCATAGATAAATCCATATTTCCAATGTTCTATGATTAATTAAAACACGTAGATGTATAGTATTTTTTGTGTGATTCATCTAGTTTTAATTGTTTCGACTTCCACTTTTGTATATTTTGCATGTTCAAATAACAAGCATGTTTGTAATTATGCAAATACAGTCAAACTTTGTTCGGTCGAACTCTGAGGGCCTGTGCAAATTTGTTTGAGAGATCGGTATTTCGAGCCAACAGAATACATCATTGCTTGTTCAAAAGTATGTTTGTACTTATGCAAGTACTGCATATATGGACTTTTGTTGCCATGGCAACATATGCTAAAAATCAATAAGAGACTTAATTTTTGGTATTTCCATAAATTACTTTGTATTAATTAATAAAAAAATCACAAGGGTCCTGCAGACAGCTTGTTACTGTCACAGTAAATTTATTCAGTTAAATTTACATTTAAATTGGTCTGGTTTTTAAATTGGTACAGAAAGTAACAAATAAGTCGGTCATTAAATGTATAAAAGTGAAAAGATTTGACCTTTTATATGGTGAGTTTATCATGTATGGTGGGGAATTGGTGCCAACTTTTTGTAGTGATAAAAAAATATGAATTTTAGAAAAAAAATGTTTAGTACAAATAAGTTTAAATTTATGACCAATGGAGCACACAGGGAAGAGGTTGTAGAAAAAAAATCTGCGACCATGTGAAAACTAAAAAATAAAAAGTAAAGTTTGTCATTTACATGAATATGTCCCTGTGGATGAAATGTCCAAACAGAAAAATGGACACTGTAGTATAATCTTTGCATTTCATTTTAGGCCACTCATGGTTTTTAACCTGATAAAATGATTTTATTGTCTGTGAAATATACAGGTGCAAACATTTTTGTAAATGACAAACAGTACATATAAAATATGCCAGCATTTAACTAGTTGAATTATACCAAAACAGTGTAATGATACTTTTGTTGTAAATAGATTTTTGAGTCTTTAATAATGTTTAAGAAGACTTTCTTTTGTTTTTCTTGTCTTCTGTAGGTCTAAAAAATATTGTGTATTTAATTTGTGTATCTAATTGTGTAATTTGTGTATCTAATTTGTGTATCATATTTGGGTATCTAATTTGAATTCTGTTGGGTCTAAAATAATATAGTATAATTACGTGTATTTTCTTTTTTTTTTTAATTTTGGCTCACCTCACTATTTTTAGTTCCAAATTTTAAGAGCAATTTGGTTTGCTGCTTTTAGCAGTGCATGACATTTGTGTCGTACTATATAATAAATACAAATATACATGTAATACTATATTTTATATTTATATATTTTATTTTAACTTACATAAAAAAAACTAATTACTATAACTATACATATTGCTGACAAAGCAAAATTAGTTTATGTATATGGAAAATGATTCATAATTTTGGAACTGTAATAAGATGTCAAATATAAAAGGTTTGTAAGAAATAAAATTGATGACAATTCTCGGACATAATGGACCTTTAAATGCTCATGAATCAATAGTTGTTTAGACCACAACCATTCCATCAAATTTCAACATTTCCACAATATATTTTTGTGAAATCGTCAGAGTTACATGTTTTACATTATTTTTCTTCTGTAATTTTGTTAGCAATATAAAATATATATTTTGCTAAATTTAAGACTTTTAATTAAAGTTTCTATGACAACTAAATACCGGTACTGATAACATTTTTGATGTTATGAGAAATATTTTATTATTTTATTTGCATATATTTTATTATTTTATATACTGTACATGTATTACAGAATGAACAATAGTTTATCATGAACTAATATCACCATTATTATATATGTTTGGACTGTTTTGCACTGAATCTCACTATAGCATTGTTATTTATGTCCACATTTTTGTTTGTGGCATTTTTGTTTCAAAATCTGTGATTATAAGAAACACATTTTGTTTTTAACAAAAAATGTTACATAATATTAAAGGGACTCGACTGAGGGTTATTTTAACATGAAGGGACTTGAAATATTTTTTAGAAATGATTTGTATTCCATTTGATGTAGGTTTGTATAAACAACTTTTTATGCAAAATTTTAAGTCAATTTTATCGCACTCAATTTCCCCAGAGTAATTATTTTTATTCTGCAAAATAACCTAAAAATGAAAAACACTTTTCACTAAATCAAACTAAAAATTGTGCAAAAGAATCGATTTTCAATTTAACTCATAGTGTATTTTTCATTATTATCTTATTTAGATTTTTCTATTTTAAGTGCATAAGTTGATCTATGCAAAAATTTCAAATGTTATGTTTCCAGGCTTTTAGACCTCAGTGAAGTTCCTTTAAAGACAAGCTTTTAACTACATGTACATTATAGATTCAGATAAAATCCTGAAACATGGATCATACATATTAACATTATATGAGAAAAACGGTTGGTTTTATAGTTTTAAATGTGAAAAAAAGTTTTATGATTATCTCTTCAGATCTGTGGTTTTGAGTTTCTAATAAAACATTTGCATCTATAGTTTCTGTTTTCTCTTCAGTAGTGTAAAAGGTACAGTTTGTCTCTGATTTAATAGTGTAACAAATTGGAACAGAGAATGAGAAGTATTAATTATCTAAATTTTAACATAATATTTTTACTAAATAAAGATAATTTTAGATTTTTTTTATCACAACTGTTCATTAATCGGTCAAGTTAAAAAATATTGGGACGAATATAAAAAGAGAAATACATCCGTACAGTGACTTACCTTTGGCTCAAAATTCAATCTTTGGCTAATACTCCGGTGGACATTGCATTGATGTAAATTATCACCAATTTGTGCTTCAACATTAATTCTTTAAGATAGTTAAATCTTTAATTGCACTACTTGTATCTCCTTCTATCCCACACTTCCATGAACAAAAATCTCATTTGATTTATTGAAACCTTTGTTTTACAAAGTGCCATAATTCAATTATCACATGGGGTTATCGATTCATGCCGATATTGATGTGCAATGCTAGGTTATCAATACAACACAGTGCACGCTTTCTTTATCAAAGTTACAGACGGACACACAGACGGACAGACATATTCAACATGCAAATAACACAAATTAAACAATATGCAGTACGGTTCCGGTAGAGATCTGTAAAAAAGCCGGCTCCGTGGTCGAGGGGTTAGAGTCGATGACTTCTAATCCAGTTACCTCTCTGGCGTGGGTTCGATCCCCGTGAGATGCTTTGGTAGTTTAGTGCGGAGGAAGGTAGTCTAGTACTGGTGTAACTCTCCAGGAACGATGGTTAGGAAACTACCCGCCTGTATGACTGAAAT